ACATTTTTTATTCATATCTCTCTTAAACAATGGGGCCAGAGAGAATGTACTGCAGAGAAGCACTAAATCTACTGTTGGTCCTGCACAATGCCCTTTGTAACAGAATTACGGAGTAAAGGCATAATCTGTCAAAAGATCTGTAATAGGGTGTATTGCTGATGATACTAAGATATGTAACAGGGTTGATGTTCCAGGAGGGATAAGCCAAATGACAAAGGTAAATTAGAAAAATGGTCAGAATTGTGGCAACTGACATTTAAATGTGGATAAGTGCAAGATAATGCATCTTGGACGTAAAAACCCAAGGGCAGAGTACAGAATATTTGATAGAGTCCTAACCTCAACATTGAGGAAAGGGATTTATGGGTGATTATTTCTGATGACTTAAAGGTAGGCAGACAATGTAATAGAGCAGCAGGAAATGCTAGCAGAATGCTTGGTTGTATAGGGAGAGGTATTAGCAGTAGAAAGAGGGAAGTGCTCATGCCATTGTACAGAACACTGGTGAGACCTCACTTGGAGTATTGTACACAGTACTGGAGACCGTATCTTCAGAAGGATATTGATACCTTAGAGAGGGTTCAGAGAAGGGCTACTAAACTGGTTCATGGATTGCGGGATAAAACTTACCAGGAAAGGTTAAAGGAACTTAACATATATAGCGTGGAGGAAAGACGAGACAGGGGGGATATGATAGAAACATTTAAATATATATATGGGAATCAACACAGTAAAGGAGGAGAATATATTTAAAAGAAGAAAAACTACCACAACAAGAGGACATAGTCTTAAATTAGAGGGACAAAGGTTTAAAAATAATATCAGGAAGTATTACTTTACTGAGAGGGTAGTGGATGCATGGAATAGCCTTCCAGCTGAAGTGGTAGAGGTTAACACAGTAAAGGAGTTTAAGCATGCGTGGGATAGGCATAAGGCTATCCTAACTATAAGATAAGGCTAGGGACTAATGAAAGTATTTAGAAAATTGGGCAGACTAGATGGGCCGAATAGTTCTTATCTGCCGTCACATTCTATGTTTCTGTCCCACAGCAGTTGGGGCACTAACGTTTTGATTACATTTCCCACAATGCCGAGCCAGCTATGGAGCATGCACCTGACAGGTTAAAGGATCACTATAGGGTCAGGAACACAAACATGTATTCCTGACCCTATAGTGTTAACACCACCATCTAGCCCCCCTGGGCCCCTCATGCCTTCATAAATATAGCAAAATCTTACTGTATTCAAGCCTGAAGCCTCAGAAAAACAAGCAGTCTGTTGACATCATCAGAAGTGGTAGTCTGATCCAATCACAATGCTTCCCCAGAGGATTGGCTGAGACTGACAATGAGGCAGATCAGGGGCAGAGTCAGCATGATTCAAACACAGCCCTGGCCAATCAGCATCTCCTCATAGAGATGAATTGAATCAATATGAGGAAAGTTCAGTGTCTGCATGCAGAGGGAGGAGATACTGAATGTTTGGATGCATTTTAGGCAGCCTTAACCCAGGAAGGATCTCTAACAGCCATCTGAGGAGTGGCTAGTGAAGTTATCACTAGGCTGTAATGTAAACACTGCATTTTCTCTGAAAAGACAGTGTTTACAGCAAAAAGCCTGAAGGTAATGATTAAGGTAATGATTCTACTCACCAGAACAAATTCAATAAGCTGTAGTATAAGCTGTGCACCCCCCCACCCCCCGCATGGAATATTATTACTGTGGCCCCCCCCCCCAGTATGGAGTATTATTACTGTGCCCCTCTCCCCAGTATGGAGTATTATTACTGTGCCCTCCTCCCAGTATGGAGTATTATTACCAAAGTCTCCTCCCCAGTATGGAGTATTATTACTGTGCTACCCAGTATGGAGTATTATTACTGTGCCCCCCAGTATGGAGTATTATTACTGTGCCCCAGTATGGAGTATTATTACTGTGCCCCCAGTATGGGAGTATTGGTTACATTTACTGTGCCCCTGGAGTATGGAGTATTATTACTGTGCCCCCAGTATGGAGTATTATTACTGTGCCCCCCAATATGGAGTATTATTACTGTGCCCCCCAGTATGAGTATTATTACTGTGCCCCCAAGTATGGAGAGTATTATTACTGTGCCCCCCTGTAAGGCCCCAGTAGGGAGTATTATTACTGTGCCCCCAGTATGGAGTATTATTACTGTGCCCCCCACTATGGAGTATTATTACTGTGCCCCCCGGAGTATTATTACGTGCCTCCACTATGGAGTATTATTACTGTGTATGGAGCACATTACTGTGCCCCCCAGTATGGTGCCCCCAGTATTATTATGTGGGAGTATTATTACTGTGCCCCCAGTATGGAGTATTATTACTGTGCCCCCCAGTATGGAGTATTATTACTGTGCCCCCAGTACATATGGAGTATTACTGTGCCCCCAGTATGGGGGTATTATTACTGTGCCCCCCAGTATGGGGAGTATTATTACTGTGCCCCCCACATGTGGGAGTATTATTACTGTGCCCCCAGTATGGAGTATTATTACTGTGCCCCCCATATGGAGTATTATTACTGTGCCCCCAATAAGTGAGTATTATTACTGTGCTATTACTGTGCCCCCAGTATGGAGTATTATTACTGTGCCCCCCCAATATGGAGTATTATTACTGTGCCCCCAGTATGGAGTATTATTAACAATATGGAGTATTGGCTACTGCCCCCAGTATGGAGTATTACAGTAGGAGGTATTATTACTGTGCCCCCAGTATGGAGTATTATTACTGTCCCCCAGTATTATTACTGTGCCCCCAGTATGGGAGTATTATTACCAAAGGCCCCCAGTATGGAGTATATTACTGTGCGCCCCCAGTATGAGTATTATTACTGTGCCCCCCAGTATGGAGTATTATTACTGTGCCCCCAGTATGTGCCCCCAGTATTATTACTGTGCCCCCCAGTATATATGGAGTATTATTACTGTGCCCCCAGTATGGAGTATTATTACTGTGCCCCCCTAGTATGGGAGTATTATTACCCCCCCAGTATGGTATATTACTGTGCCCCCCAGTATGGAGTATTATTACTGTGCCCCCAGTATGGAGTATTATTACTGTGCCCCCCAGTATGGAGTATTATTACTGTGCCCCCAGTATGGAGTATTATTACTGTGCCCCCCAGTATGGAGTATTATTACTGTCCCCCAGTATGGAGTATTATTACTGTGCCCCCCAGTATGGAGTATTATTACTGTGCCCCCAGTATGGAGTATTATTACTATGCGTCCCCCAGTATGGAGTATTATTACTGTGCTCCCCGTCCCCCAGTATGGAGTATTATTACTGTAAGTGCCCCCAGTATGGAGCATATTATTACTGTGCTCTGTATGGAGTATTATTACTGTGTATTACACAGTTCCCCCAGTATGGAGTATTGTGAGTATGGAGGCATATTACTGTGCCCCAGTATGGAGTGTATTACTACTGCCCCCCAGTATGGAGTATTATTACTGTGCCCCCCCCAGTATGGAGTATTATTACTGTCCCCCCAGTATGGAGTATTATTACTCACCTGCCGCATCATATCAGCGCTCACCATACAGCACTGAGACTCACTTCCGGGACACGCAGCCACTTCCGGGATCCGGGAACAGGCAGACCACGCCCAGCGCACGCGCAGCAGGAGAAAATGGGCGGGAAAATACGGCGAGCCAGCGAGGAGGAAAGGGCGGGCGGTTGGTGCACGTGCTCCCTGTCACATGGGGGGAAGGAGGGGAGGGGGGGCAGGGGAGCGAGGACAAGGCAGACATTGGGACAGGATAGATCATAAAGGGGATCTCCCACTTACCATGATTTATTTATTATATCACACAAACACAGATACACATACAGCCACACACTGACAAACACAGATAGATACACACATACTGATAAACTCAGATATACATACACACTGACACACAGATACACACACACATACTGATACACTCAGATATACATACACACTGACACACAGATACACACACACATACTGATACACTCAGATATACATACACACTGACACACAGATACACATACAGCCACAAAGACTTCCCGCCGGGCTCAAGAGGGGTTAAACACCCTCCTTTCTCCAGCGCCAGGCTCCCTCTGCACTGGGGAAATGTCCTCCCTCTTCCATCGTCAGCGCTGAATGCGCATGCGCCTTCAATCAGTCCATAGAAAACCATTTCTCAATGCTTTCCTATGGACATCAGCGTCTTCTCACTGTGATTTTCACCATGAGAAGCGCCTGTCAATGAGACAGCCACTAGAGGCTGGATTAACCTTAATGTAAACATAGCAGTTTCTCTGAAACTGCTATGTTTACAGCTTCCGGGGTAACCCTAGATGAGTTATTATTATTTATTATTATTGCCATTTATATAGCGCCAACGGATTCCGTAGCGCTTTACAATATTTTGAGAGGGGGGGTGTAACAATAAATAGGACAATTACAAGAAAAGGTCTGGGTGCCTATAGTGGTCCTTTAACTAACAATGGTGTTTAACTGCTGGATCAGGGTCCAAAATTGTGTCTCTACTCCATGCTTTGTCAATAGATCCCAAACAGACACATATTTGTCAGTTCCCATGTAACTTTCAAGGTTAAATGGATTACTATACCAGCTATGCTTTTCTTATTGCATTTAAAGGGTATTTAAAGTCCTCGAGGAAGAGTCTAGTAGAGGTATTCTGTTCATTTGTGTCAGTAAATAAATTAAGAATTACATTCTTATATATCAGTAAATAAATTAACAGGGCCCAGAGCTTATTTCCCAATTGAAAAATCCATACGCTAGAGGAAATGGATAACAGAAATTAAAATTTAGCCCAAAACTGTTTTACAACATGATTTTGCCGATACATATTTTTTAAAGGGTATTTAAAAAATGAGTCAAAGACTTTTTTTTTTAGCCTCTGTAGGTGGAGCTGAAACAAGAAATATTTATAATTTGTTTTATTAAATAAAGAAGAAAGCTTCACACAATGAATTAGAGCTTTTTTAACAGATTATTTTATTACGCGATTCATTACTGCATGCGCATAGAATTCATCATTAATGCCTTTGGTGAAGATAATTTATCAATATCAATATTTCATGTCTTGCTACCAGAGGAGCCAACCGTTAATTGATATCTCTAAAAAGTGCTAATGTGACTTTTTTTTTTTTAAAGATCATTTATAGTCATCGTTGAACTTTTCAGTGATTTGTCCTTTAATTTTCATCATTCGCTCCTTTTTACGCTCCTTAAGCCTACTCTCTTTCTCTAGTGCCTCTATTTTGTTAAACTGAGACACCGTCTGAGCCTCATACGCCTCAAGTTGTTTTACTGTAAGGAGCTGGAAGCCACTTTTTTCTCGGAAGGGATCAGCTGTGACAGTATGTTCAAGTTTTTTTTTCTGACTGTGTTCTTTCTTGATTTGTCCTATTACCATTCGCAAAGGCTGCACTGCCTCGCAGCTTGTGTACAACCCTAATTGTTGGATACCATCTTCTACAGCAGAAGAAGACCTCCAATTCACAGGTGAAGTTCCTTCCTTCTTGCTGTTGCTATATGACCCTGTTGGATGTGCGGTGGTCAAAGCAGGTACAGAGGATGGAACTTCGGAGGATCCTTGTAAAGTCATATTTCTCATTTGAAATGGTTTTCTGTGGGTATTTATCTCAGCGGGAATAGATGAACCTTGTGTCTGAGACAATGCAGTAGAAGGATTGGTTCTGTTAGGTTCTGTCGAATGACAATGTACATTTTCTCGTTTGTGTTGTGCGTTGGACACAGATGATCCCTGAACACTGTGGACATTTGCATTGTGCTTAAGGTTTAAGCTAAGCACGTCCAATTTCTCCAAATTCTGGATGGTGCTGACCTTTAGAAGGATTTGAGTAGGCTTCAATGGAGAATGAGGTCCACGATGTTTTATCCTTTTCAGAGTGGCATCCTCACTTCGGGAAAGAGCTGATTTGCATCGGTGTGAAGAGTATCCTGACTCAGCATCTGAAGTTACAGTAAAAAAAAAAAAAAATTATTATTAAATTGCAAAATGTTCAAAACTTTAGCATCCTAAAAACGACTATAACTGAACTCCTTAAAAAGGGAAAATATTGTTGTGTGAGGAAGAACATAAAAGCATGGACTAAACCGTGGGTGGCTAAAATACATTCATGCCAGGTATGTCACCCTTTAAAGATACACTGTATGGGATAAATACTGTATCTTCTAAATCTAAGGGACCTCTTCAAGTACCATAACCACTACATCTTGCTGTAGTGGTTACGGTGCCAGGAGTGCCCCAACACCATTCCGTAGTAAGATGTCATACAGTTTTAGCACAGTTTGACAACATACCTAGCACCAGAGCCACATCCATTGTATCTAATCATTTCCAGAAGGAGAATTCAGACGTCACTGCTTAGATCAAAGCAGGACTATAATCACTGGCTGAGAGTTTCAGCTGAGCAGTCCTGCATCAGTTCGATTTTCTCTATAATGTAATCTTGCTGGAGAAGACCAGAAGTGGCAACAAGGTACATTGTCAAACCATTCTAAACTGGTTTGACATCCTATCATGAGACAGTGCTAGGACATTCCTCCCACCATAACCACTACAACAGGGTCTAGTGATTATGGCACTTGGAATGTCCCTTTAAGCCTTTCATTTTGTAATGAATATATAACAAATAAAAATAGAGATTTGTCAAGACATTTAGATGTCTGTACAGAGAAGTGCTATACGTAAATAAACAATGGGCTAATTTTACCAGATTCGTCCTTTGCAATCCATTCCCCAGCTGAGCTTGCTCTTCTAAATACATCAGGACTTTTAATTGCTGATGGTAACTTCTTCCGAAATTCAGGCTGCAGATCAATGTATGCAAAGCTTCGGTGGAAATTCTGAAGATCCGGCCATGCGATCGGTTTCAGAGACTCTTCATGCAAATCTGCGGGAAAGAATATTGATGACTTTTTATCAATCACATAGAGATAGTTATGGTCAGTTACAGTGATTATGGTGCTTAGAGTGCCCCTTTAACCCCTTAAGGAACAAACTTCTGGAATAAAAGGGAATCATGACATGTCACACGTCATGTGTCCTTAAAGGACCACTATAGTGCCAGGAAAACATACTCGTTTTCCTGGCACTATAGTGCCCTGAGGGTGCCCCCACCCACAGGGTCCCCCTCCCACCCGGCTCTGGAAAGGGGAAAGGGGTTAAAACTTACCTTTTTCCAGCGCTGGGCGGGGAGCTCTCCTCCTCCGATCCTCCTCTTCTCCTCCCATGCGGCTGAATGCGCATGCGCGGCAAGAGCTGCGCGCGCATTCAGCCGGTCACATAGGAAAGCATTCATAATGCTTTCCTATGGACGCTGGCGTGCTCTCACTGTGAAAATCACAGTGAGAAGCACGCAAGTGCCTCTAGCGGCCGTCAATGAGACAGCCGCTAGAGGAAATAGGGGAAGGCTTAACCCATTCATAAACATAGCAGTTTCTCTGAAATGGGTTAACCCTAGAAGGACCTGGCACCCAGACCACTTCATTAAGCTGAAGTGGTCTGGGTGCCTAGAGTGGTCCTTTAAGGGTTTAAAGGTCAATGGTGCTTTTGTGTGAGCTCAGGTACATTAACAAACAAATACACATTGGCAAACTGACATATCAACTACATTACTGATACATAAGCTGAGAAATAAAACATTTAGTACAATATTTATTCAGTACTGGGCGATTTGATTCGCTTTTTTTCTCATTTGTAAAGTTTGCTTAAAATATTTGGGATGCCAGTTGATGACAACTAATATTAGTTAGTTTAGGTTTTGATATAATGTTAATTAATGCGCATATGCTTTATTCTCTATTCATGTATTGGCTTTCAATGATGCATTCAGGATTAGGAAAATACCTTGTGCTCGCTTCATGCTTCTTGCAGAGAGACTCCGAGCATGATGGGACAGCCAATTCTTGTCATGTTCCGGCTTTTGTTCCTGTCGGTATAGTTTCCTGTCGCTTGACCCAATATGCCTCATTCTCTGCGCACGCACATAACTGTAAGGACGAGCTTTGATCGGTGCTAATTTAAACTGGTCTCTGTCTTTGGGGACAGTGAAACGCACAGACTCCTGGGAGTAGTCCCATGAAATCTCCTCAAACTGGAATATCATGATTCTTGAGTGTACATTGATCACCATTCTACACAAAGGGAAACAATGAAACAAGTCATGTTTAAATTTGGTTAATGTACCTTTCTCACAGGACATCACCCAAGTTGACTATGAGATGTCCTGGGTATTAGCTCACCTTTAAGTGCTACTCTCTCTAGTGGTCAGTAGACAGAACTGCAATTGCAATGCTTCTCTAGCACAGGGATAGCTTCTAGATGTAATAATACTGTGTTTTGCAAATATTACACCCAAAATATTTATATACCATGCCAAATTCTGTTATGCAGAATTCAGGAGAGCAGGTATAGATTCTGGCAAATTTACAAATGCTGTACAGAGACGTCTTTATAATGAACAACTTTAACCCCTTAAGGACCAAGCTTCTGGAATAAAAGGGAATCATGACATGTCACACATGCCATGTGTCCTTAAGGGGTTAAAGGCAAAATGTTGTTAGAACAAGGAACAAAACATTTGGTTTCTGTGACTCCAATCTTAGAACATTGAACGATTTAGGTTAGCTTTTCACATCTCTACTGATTGTCCTCAGAGGAAACCAAACTTGATTATGTAGCTACCATTGTTTCAATGTCATTTTGGAATACATGGTCCACAGATAAAGGGCCATCCACAACCACTATATATAGGATCATTCTGATAACCTCTCAGAGAAGCTTTATTAACCCCTTAATGACCAAACTTCTGGAATAAAAGGGAATCATGACATGTCACACATGTCATGTGTCCTTAAGGGGTTAAAGTGACACTATAGTCACCAGAACAACTACAGCTTATTGCATTTGTTCTGGTGAGTATAATCAGTCCCTGCAGGTTTTTTTTGCGGCAAACACTGTCTTTTCATAGAAAATGCAGTGTTTACATTACAGCCTAGGGATACCTCCACTGGCTACTCCTCAGATGGCTACCAGAGGTGCTTCCTGTGGCAGTGCTGCACAGTGTGACTGGCATTCAGTGTTTCTACCCTCTACATAGAGACACTGAACTTTCCTCATAAAGATGCATTGACTCAATACATATCTATGAGGAGATGCTGATTGGTTAGGACTGTGTTTTACTTGTGCTGGCTCTGCACCTGATCTGCCTCTTTGTCAGTCTCAGCCAATTCTATGGGGAAGCATTGTGATTGGCTGAAAACAACACTTTTGATTATGTCAGTAAAGCAGACAGATCAGGGGGATAGTCAGCAGCTGCAGACTTGAACAAAAGTAAGATTTTACTATATTTAGTGGGGTAAGGAGAGATCAGGGGGGACAGATGGTGGTTTTAACACTATAGGGTCGGGAATACATTTTTGTGTTTCTAACCCTATAGTGTTTCTGTAAAGCGTAGCTGTATTTTACCTATTGTCTCGAACACATAATGATAGCACTGGGTCTGCTCGGCTATTGGCACTCATCTCTCGGAGGCAATCTCCACCGAGAAAGTTAAACACACGGATTTTGCCATCCGCGCAGCCTGTGATGACTCTGAGATAGACGAAAGCCAGACATGTCACCTCCCTGTGAACGGAAATTACAAGTTATACATGCTCATTAAATTTTTAACAATACAGGGGAATTCTCTAAAGTTTGAATTGTCAGGATTTCAACAGTAATCAAATGAGAATTGCAAATTTTTGGCCAAAGTCAGTTGACAGCTGTACTATATTGTTATATAATTTGAATAATTTATATATTAATCAAAACTTTTTTCTTCCAGTTCCACTAAACAGCAGGTAACCTGGATAAACGTTGTGCCCAATTAGATGCAATTCAGTGTGTTTTACAAATTTCCAGATTCCTATACTTCGCATGAACCTTTCATATTTTGGGGCTTTTTGTTTTGCAAGACCACATTTCTCTCCAAATATAAATCAGGATTATATTTATTAAGTACATGAATTGAATTTTAGAGTCATGCTTGGTATTCAGTAAATAATCCCATTCACAGGAAGTTGCTATTCATGGATGAATGGGAATATAAACACAATACAAATGTGATTTCTTGGAATGCAGACAATGATACTGCAGGACACGCTGCGGCTTGTAGAATTATTTCATAACTTGTATCTTTTTTAGAATTGCAGGCACTATGCACAAATTCACTAAACTGTGGACTAGTGAATTGAAATCTGAATGATAATTTTAGGCTTAACCCCTTAAGGACCAAACTTCTGGAATAAAAGGGAATCATAACCTGTCACACATGTCATGTGTCCTTAAGGGATTAAAGGGATACTACAGGCTTATAGACACAGTTTTGGTGCATAGATCATGCCTCTGCAGTCTCACTAATCAATTCTCTGACATTTAGGAGTTAAATTACTTTTTTTCTGTTTATGTAGCTCTAGCCACACACCCCCTGGTTGTTACTTACACAGGCTGCATTAATATAATGGTGTACTTTTCAATCAGATGTGAACTTGCTTTACAAGTTTTTATCTCCTGCACTGTAAACTGAGCTATAATAGCACATAGAAAGTCCTCCGGAGTCTATAAACTATTAAAAGAGCAGGATATAATAAATTCTAAATTAAACAGAACTTGCAATAAAGGAAGTATAAAGATTAGATTACTATTTACAGGAAGTGTTTAGGAAGGCTGTGTAAGTCACACGCAGAGAAGTATGACTAGGGCTGCATAAAAAAAAGTGATTTAACTTCTAAATGACAGAGATTTGAGCAGTGAGACTGCAGGGGAAGGATCTATACACCAAAATTGCCCTATTAAACTAAAGGTGTTTTGATGCATTGTGTCCCTTTAAACAGCAAAATTCTGACTTAACATGAGTTACAGGATTTTTTTAAAAAGCTCTGCTATTTGAGCAATTCAAACATTAATTAAATATAATTCAGAATTTAGGGAATCCCCCGAGACTTCTGGTGAGTTTAGAACCGACTTTAGACCAAAGCAGATGAGATGATATAAAAAGATAATCAACTGCTGAAATAAAAAACTCTCCACAACACGCCCGTTACAGGTAAAATTCTGCACCTTGCTTTTCAGCTCATCACAAAACAACAAACATACTAACAAAATACACCAGTGAAATAATATAAAAAAGATCAAATATATTTCTATTGTTAAATTGACCTACTTTGGATGCCTGAAGGTGATGAGGCGTTTTTTGACAGTTCCCAGCATGCTCCAGGCTATCGCATATCCATCCGCACCTCCTGACAATAAATGCCACTGGTCAAAGACAAGGCATTTTACTGGCCCATCATGACCTGATAAAGACTTTATCATAAAAAAAAAAAATTAAAAAAAAAAAAATATATCACAAAGATATCAAAAAAATATTAGATCTGAAATTATTACACAGGTTAGTTTACAAGCCGTTGCATAATAATGGGCAGATTACACACAGGTTAGAATGAGACTGAGGGAAAGTTCCTTCAATAGGAAACTAGAAATTGCTATTATTATTATTTGTATTATTTATAAAGCGCCAACAAGTTCCGTAGCGCTGTACAATGGGTGGACTAATAGACAAGGATTTGTAACCAAACGAGTTGGACACACAGGAACAGAGTGATCGAGGGCCCTGCTCAATGAGCTTACACGCTAGAGGGAGTGGGGTATAGTGACACAAAGGGTAAGGGTAGGGTAGAAAGGTAGATTGCTAGGATAGTATTTATCGAGGGCTTAGTGCTTTGTTTTGATGACAGTTGCAGGAGAGGAATCAAGGTGTGTGGAGGGAAAGCTGTTGACAATTAAATTGATATGCTTTCCTGAAGAAGTAAGTTTTCAAAGATTTTTTTTTGAATGAGTGGAGACTGGGTGAATGTGTAACAGAGAGGGGAAGGGTGTTCGATAGGAATGGTGCAGCCCTCGAGAAGTCTTTAAGGCGAGCATCAGAGGTAGGAGTACGAACAGAGGATAGACGTAGGTCTTTGGCAGAGCGTAGTGTTCTAGACATGAGATATTTGACAGAACAGAAGATATTTGTGTATTAGTGAGGATAGATAGGTGGGAGCGGCGTTATGTAGAGATTTGTAAGCAAGTACCAGGATCTTAAATTGAGTCCTATATCTAACAGGAAGCCAATGTAGGGACTGACAGAGGGGGGAGGCGTAGGAGGTGCGGGAGGACAGGAAAATGAGTCTCGCCGCTGCAATCATTATAGACTGTAATGGCGCAAGTTGGAAACACGTATACTGTATGCTTTTCTAGCCATCAGATTAACCAATTCTGCTGTTTTGCTGGCAAGTTCCTCCATTCAATCACCTAATAGAAACTGGCACATTCAGACACTTATAGAATTCAGGGCTAGGTTTTGGTTTTTTTTTACAGCTCGCATTTCCACAGGGGGCATGTAGCCATTTCAGATTTCCCCCCAATTCTACATTATTATTCTGTTGACTCTGACATACATAGCTGCTTACGGTGTATGCTACTGTGAGTGCCTTCTTGCGGAAGAATGTTTTTTATTTTGTTTGGTCTGTGCCGATCTTAAACACACACATACAGTATTACCGTATATACTCGAGTATATACGGTACATGGATTCGATAAGTCAATCAGCTGCTGTTTTGAAAGCAATCATGCTAGTCCCCACGAACAATACATTTATTCCAATGCTGTCTTCTTGATTAGAAACAGTATACAGAATTAAATGTTTTAGTTGTTTTATGCTGAACAATTGGATTTCCAGTGACGGAATGTTTGCTCTGCATGTTGGCATTATAGTATTATTATTATCATTATTTATATATCGCCAACAAATTCCGCAGCGCTGTACAATGGGATATGAAGACATTATATGCAATATTCCGTTACCTTAATTAACGTTGCTGATTCCACGTTCCATATTTTGACAATTCCTCTGTCACAGCCACTCACCACGTATTGTCCCTTTATTTTAACATCTGATATGGCATCTTTGTGTTTAAATGTTTTAAGACATTTGCCTGAAGTTAGATTCCATACTATTATGAAATAATAAAGATATATATTAAGCCAATTTTCAGTGTTTTGGACAATAGAAGGAAAACAACTCAATACATTTGAACCTATGAGTTTAATTCATTCATAACAGCTAATTGGGAAAGGATTAACGACTATGGGTCCTCTGGCAGAGGTGAAGGCGTTCAAAAGACCTTGTGAAGTTTGCTTACCAGTTGTTATTTTGTCCCAGGGATGTCATGATATATATTAATTACGTAATTAATTATATTATTTAATTGCAGAATCATAGGCTAGCATATTCTGCTGTGCATTGCAATGGGACAATTAACCTTCACGCAATAACAAGTTTGGTCTGTACAAACGAACTAGAAGTTTCAATAGAAATCACTGTCACTTTAAATTTCCTGAATCTGCTATAAACCTCAGGGATTTGCAGGTACCTGCACTAAGCTTCCAGTCTAGGAAGTGTGGCTGAAACCTCTCAGCCAATCCTCACACTACCATTCTTATCAATGCAATCCCATAAAACTCTGCCCAGCCAATTCTAAACACACACTCAAAATGCATTATCTGTCAATAGAAATATGTATTTAATACATGCTATAATTAGAGTAGAAAGTGGAATGATATTAGAAAACAAGTAGGTGAGATAGGATGAATTATCCGAGGGGACAGAACTGAAAAGAAAAACATTAACACGTTGCTTGAGATACAGAAATACATTTTTAAGGTTCTCTTAAAGAACTGTAACGTGATGGTATAAGACAAATATTAAATATTGATATAAGATTTGGACAGCATCACAGGTAAAAGGTAAAGAGAATTTTGAAGATGGAAAAAAATCAGTGTAAACATCTATCAGTGTGATTTTAATACTGTTGGACTTCCTTGGATCAAGGTGGCTCTGTTATCCTATACGTACCTTACTTCGATTTGTTCACAATACCTATGGAGACAATATCTATGGAGGGTCTTGTGGTCTTCCATAGACCTTCCACAGGCATATGCGCAATAGTACAACACTAATGTGTACACCTGGCAGACACAGAGATCCAACAGGATCCTGCAGGATCCAACGGCCATAGTGGCCGTGAGAGGCAGCTACAGGTAAGTAAAACTCACCTTTCTCTGCACATAGCGGTTACTGGCCACCAAGCGGCGAAGTCACCATCAGGAGTCTTTTAAAATTATGCAAAGATCCCAGAAGATGACAGAACCTTCTTATTAATTTTCCCTTATAAGTTGTAGTTTTAATTAACCATTCTAAGTACAGTTTTAATCTGACCTTTTATTTGTCTATCTTTGGCTCCAGAAACCAACAAATTTTCACATACATCAAGGCATGTAATAGTCCTCATGTGTCCAAGATATATTTTCATGCAAACTCCGTTTTGCAAGTTCCAACGTCTACAAAGCAGAAAGAAATATCGTAAAGTTTTGGGGTTTTTTTTGTTAATAGTACGAAGTAGTAGTTTGTAATATATTTTGTACCTATTTACCAATGTTGTAAAAATGTATTTTACAGCTTACAGGGGGCAGCCATTATACTTATCTATGCAAGTTTAGATCAGTGGATAGTCAATACAATGTTAAACATATATCTGTCAAGCACACCAGTCAAGCCATAAGACTTGCTTTTCAATCACAATTTTTCCCACCATAACTTTCTTGCATCGTGCTTCACATTTTTAGATCATTTAGGGATATTACTTACCCATCTTTCTAATCAGAAAACACATAGTTGTGAAACTGTTGTGGAAAAGCTCAGATACGTAGATTACGTGTATACGTTGAAGATAATTTTACCTGATGCTGAGGTCATACCCTCCACTGAACACAAAGCCCTGCTCCTCACACAAGTGTACAACGTGGATGCTCCCAGCATGTCCATTAAACAGCGGTGGAACTTGTTTCATATTTAATATGTCCAATAATTTCACTTTGCGATCTGCAGCCCCCACAACCACAAATTTTCCTCCATCAAAGTGGATTGCCTTGTGCTGATTTTCACTGCAATTGGAAAAATAAATAATATATATTGTGACCGAAAGCAAGGAATTGTGCTGGAGGCAGTCTATATATCTCCCCAGATTTTGCAAGGTTCCTATTTTGTATAATTAGCCCCAGGGAAATGTGTTGTGTTAAAATTAATATTGCACTTTAAATATGTGTGTTTGGGCCCTGGGGTGCAGCACTTGGAGAGTAGGATGGGCCAGTGGAAACTGCAGGTGAGGAGTCCAGTTCCAGAATTTCAACCCTGACTTACCTCACCTGAAAGGGATTGTTAATTGCAGGTGATATTACGTACTCCCCTGCCAAAGGTGGAGTAGAAATTGTGTTTGATTCCTGTGAGAGGAAACAGAGAGCTGAAAGAACGTGAAACACTAAGGTGGATATTTATGTTTATTTATGTTGGGAAATGGACAAGCCATCCAAGCCAAGTTTGTTATTTTTATAAGTTAGTGCTCAGAAGAGCAAGGATTTTATTTTCTTTATTTTATTACAATTTGTTATACCTTACTGCACATTGTTACATTTTGGGACCACAATAAAAAGAGCAAGTCCTTTTACCTCATTCAGTGTGTGACGTGTCTCGAAAGTCTGAAAAGACTGTGTGTAGCACCCTAATCCCAGGACAGGGTATATATATATATATATATAAATATATATATATATATATATATACTAATATTATGTAAGCAGTCCATACTTTGGCTTAGTATATCTTTTCACACAATATACTAGAGGGCGCCAAATCCCAGTTAAAAATAAGATGAATGGGCAAATATACAAGAGAAAAAAATCATGGCACAATAAATGTATCACATAAAAGAATAAAACAGATTTAAAATAACAGTGAGAAACACTAATGCACATAAACATAAAATATGTGCAAAAAAGGCGAATCAACCTAAAAGCCAAAACAGTTCCGCCTCTCAGTCCACCTTCAATGTCCATGAATCCAGTCTGCAGATCCAATGGTCGCGACATCAGAGGATGAACAGTGCCTAGGAGACATCCACCGAGACTGAACAGGTGTCATGAGCAAGTCTTCGACAAACAGAGAATGAAGATATGCTCGACGCGTCTCATCTCCATGTTCCACGGGACTTCTTAAGGAGCTGTGGTTATTGATGTGTCCATCTTCTTTATACCCAAAAAGTGCAGGTGGTGTGGGCAATCCGTATTACAAAGTAAATATGTCATCCCACCGGACGTAGCGGACCGCACATGCGCCTTAACAGATGGAGCTCAAAGACGCTGAAATACATCCTGGACTTCACTATGTGGCTACCTGGGACCTGGGAATGCATGTAACATGATTGTCTCTTTATTTGGGAGGTATCCTATGAGAGGCCGCATTCACCAATGTTCTTATTTCACACCACTTAAGCTGTGTTCTTCCTTGGTGTTGGGTTTTAGAATAACTTTTGACTGCTTTAGAGTTTCGATGAAATTCCAACACAGTCAATATGAGTATTTCATAAAGATTTTATCTTTATGAAAAGTATTCGTTTTAGAGGAGGGTCGACAATGTCACTTTTAAGATAACAACAGGTTACCAAATGTTTCCACCAGCAAGTTACCAGATAGTACTAGTTAAGAATGCCTTCTTCCTGGTGAGGCTCTGCAGAGTCGTAAAACAGAAAAATACAAAATATATGGTGGTGGTGGTTGAAGAGGGGGTGGGGGTGGGGGCGGTTGGATTGCCGAGAAGAGATAGTGCCTGCCCTTTCCGCTCAAAGAGCAAGAAACTGATATGTGAATTCAACCAAGGAGACCAGAGGGCACAGTTGGCGTTTTTGATTATAATACAGCCCAAAGAGTCTGAGTGCTGGGATTATGTTATGTGTTTCCAGTTCGTAATACGGTATAAGATATTTTGGACCAATTTTTCAGGTCTGCTTTCATTGCACAAAATAATCACTGTTTAGTCAATAATAATTCTGCCATAGCGAGGCTGCTCAAGGTCTGCAGCTTAATGCATATTCTATGTTACTTAAGAAAAGGCCACTCACTGTCCCGAGAACATTAGGACATTGTATGGTCCACAGTAGACATTTCTTTCTTCCATCAGGACTGTCTCTGTTTCATTGTCAATGTACGCTGCTTCCAAGCTCTCCCCAGGCTAAGGAACATAAAGCAGCAATAATTAGTGATATCATACACCCCTTTCCTGACTCAGTGCACGCTCGTTCATCCAGAAAATCAAGAACATGTCAACATGTTAGACATGCTCCCGTTATTTCCCTGTGACTTTACAAAAATACGTCAAACGTCTAATGTAACCTGTATGTACAAATAACTCAAACTATTCACATCTGTATTCATGAAAATAGATTGCTTGTAGTCAGCTTGAAAAGAACATGCTATCTCGACGTAATAAAGTAAACAGCTTTCTGCCGCAAAACCTGGCCCTCTTCGCCTCACTTCCCCTTTTTACAAAATGTCTTCCTGATTGTACATTGTTTGCAATGTAGCTCAGTCAATGACGGGTCTGTATAAGCTTAGCTGCTGACCTGTCTCTGCCTCACAGCCAATCACTGTCCTCCTATTACCTGTACTGAGAAGCCAATTTCACAGAGCTAAAGGGAAAAAAGGCAGAAAGTAAGAGGACAGTGATTGGCTATGGAGTAGAGTCAGCAGCTCAGCTCATGTTGATCTCTCATGGGCTGAGCTGCATTTGCAAACTGTGTACTTCCAAACAGGAAGACGTTTTGTCAGAAGTGGATGCATGGCTAAATGGGCGGGGTTATGCTGCAGACCGTTGCAGAAATTTGAATGTGGTGAAATTTGTAGCCTGAATATAAGGCCACAAATCTAAATCGGCGTTTAAGTTGTGCTGGTGCTAAGAATATGTTAATCACAATTAAAATCGGTATCAATTAGATCCTTTAAATTGTTAAAGTAAGGCCTTGAGGCTGGAAAATATTATGAAAGTTGCAAGTGTACAACAGTTGGAAATTACCCATTTAGCCACTGACTTTCGACTGACCTTGAAAAGTACTGATAAAGACATATCAAATTCTTTAAATATACAATATGGTAAATATTTGTTCCTTTAGTAAATGCAGGTCAGTATACTGTAACCTTGGGTGTAACACTACTGGCATGGTAATCAGTTATCCTCAGTGTATTAGATTTCTTTCAATGTCTAATTTAAAATAAGATTTGATAGAAACTGATCAATAAAAATATATATTTTTTTTATATCCTACAACAATCAGCATACCTTTTTCTCTATAATTTTTTTCTCTCTCCGTAAAATAGCATTTCCATCATCTCCAATTTTTGGAATTGGAACGTTTTGTATTTTCGCATAAGTAACATTCACCCCTCTCGATGAAGTGCCCTGCAAGAAATGACAAGGTAAGCAAGGTATGGGTGTTTTATAGTAAGGGCAGAATTAAAAGCCCATTGGGACTGGTGCATGCAATTATGACGGGTCTAATTACAGAAAACACTAAAATAGTCATACCACCCAAAAATCTAGTATCTGGTGGAGATGGTGCTGGTGGAAGCTCACATGAGGCATTTATAAGAATAACTCTTTAAAGATACAAAACGCAAAACAAACCACAAACAAAAACCATTTCATATTTCCCTCTTCTCTAAGAGAGGCATATTGTTAATTAATTTACCCCAATATCTAATGCTCTTTTTTTTTTTTTAAACATCTTTTAATAGACCCATACATTGCCCTAAAGTCATCATAATAATTGTCAGCTTCCAAACATTATGGTATGAAAATATTTGTTATATTTGCACAGTTCTCTAATGATCGGAGCCTACTTGATTAATAAAGACAGGGCCAGATTAAGAGCCCAGTGGGCCTGGTGCTGACAATTATGATGGGCCTAATTACAGAATCTTGTCGACCAAAAACACTAAAACAGTCATACCTCCCAAGCGTCATGTATCTGGTGGAGTTGGTGTTGGAGGGAAACTCAAAGGATGCTGCTATAAGAAAACACATACTGTATGCTAATCTCTATATCTAATTTATGCTTTCATCTTTCAAATAAATCCATATCCCCTAACAGCAGTGTCCAGTGAATCAGGAAGTCTATGTGCAGGGTAAAAGGGTGTGCCATTGACACAAATCACGTGACCAGATCTGCCAAAAGGGGCGAACATGCCCAAAAAGGGGGCATGTCTGTCCACAGAATTGGAAGGCCAGCCTGGCATCAGTGTCCCTATATATCACAATGTCAGTGTCCCCATGTCACCCAGTCTTCCAGTGTCTGTGGATCATGCTGTAACTTCTTATCCCTGCCTCTCTCCACACACATTGACCCTTACTGGCTGGTGCTGGTATTGCAGAGTAATCTCTGTTTATACTGAGAAGAGTATCTGCATTTGTATTGCCGGTATTACTGCAATAACGGCACGGCCAGGCAGCCTCAAATACCGGCTGTGCCTTAAAATACCAGTCAGGTACCTATTCCATGGGCCTGGGCCTGGAGCTGCAGCTCCATCAGCCCCTATGTTAATCCGGCCCTGAATAAGGACATTATACGGACAGTATATGCTTATATGGCAGCATCACTTATAAAACAAAGTCTTAATGGCATAGTATAGTTTTGTTTTATATCCTTATTACTAATAAACCCTTGTATACATGAGCAGAATACATCTGCTGACTCAGGGTTTGGGATTGTTTTGGAAACCACAAGCCGATATATAAAGGGATCTTCCCTTTCCCAAATTCATCAAAATTGAGAGATTTTAAATTAGAATTTGAGTAGGTAGCAGAGCAATGTGCCAGTGATGCACATAGAGAGGCTCTGAAAATGCGTTGTATCAATCCAATGCGCATGGATTGCTGTACTGGAGGCCAATCAGATATTGGTTTTATCTAATAAATCTGCCAAAAACTATGCTAGAACATTTAAATTTAAACTAACTTGTGAAGATATATCTAACCAATGCTATGACCTTTAAATGTTATGTGAGTTGGTAAATCACACCACTAGGTGACATATTTATATAACTAGAGCCTTACTATCTTTTTATACGACTTTTATGAATTAGACCCATTGAAGAATGCTTCATCGGTGGTGGAAAATGATCAGTATAGTCTTGTTTAAAGAATTGATCTATGTAGGTGGTTTGATGGTTTGGCAGAAGGATTTCTTTGTTTTGATATAATTACCCGGAGTATCATAGCATCGTTCTGAATCATTTTTTTTGCCCTGAGATCCCGTAGAATGTCCTTTACCATGAAGCACCAATGATGAGACACACAGGCACAACTGGACAGTGATTTATTATCGAGAAATCCTACGGACAGGAGAAAGGAGCCACGTATCAGGAGAACACAGAATGATTGAATGAAAAATTTATTAAATCAGTTCAGATAAAAAAAAAAAACTTTAAAATTATGTGATGAGCAACTTACAATATGGTTTCAAAAAAGATCTGAAATGTGTGTAAAAATAGATTAATAATGTTCTTGATAAATCCAGGAAAAACAGAGTTTAAAGGCAAGCTACACGAACAGTCCTTAAATGGACAAGGATAAATAGGAAGTAGGGAGTCATAAACTGTTGTCTGAAAGTCACTGGCTCTTATTAATTGGTTAATTCACTAAATTCTGAATTGTACCAAATTATTATTTGAATTTCAAAATTTAGGTCAGCGCAGCTGATTTGGACAATTTCTCTAACAAAGCCATAAACACAGCTTGGGGATTTTTTTAAAATGGACTTATTTATGTCAGGCAGTGATAAATATAAAAAAAACCAAAAAACTTATGTTTAAATTCAGTTTTTGTAGCAGCACTAAAGTGCAAACATGACTATAAAGCCTTGATAATAGATCTAGCTAGCAGTATCTAATTGTGTAACCAAATGTGCACTTGGTCCTAAAACTAAAATACATCGTTAATAGGCAAAAGAAGATAAAATTGTAACTGAAATAAAAATAACGAGAAAATAGTAGAATAACGGCAGAAAGGGAAAGAGGCGTAATGAAAAAGGGGGAGATGGGGAGAGGGCATGTGGCTAGTAATCCTTAACAGGAATTGAAACATTATAAGACTATATATCACAGCATGTATTCGGTCCAAGGTGGCCACACATTGTAGAGTGGCTTCTCTAATCTTGGACTTTTGAGCAAAACTTCATAGCAGAATAAAGCAGTGTCTCAAATCAGTTTAGGGAATAGATAAGTGATTAATAGTAATTAGTAGCATCAACATAAAGGTCAAAGAGTCTCCGAAGGCCAGCACTCTCCGGTTGAGCAAAAGGGATGGTTTCATGCATAGGAGAGATTCCCTATTTTGAAATATTGTGGATAAGGGCAATAAAATGAGTAACAGTGCATTTAACAAAGCATTAGTATCGAGGGACATTTGGTACGTAGTAGAGGTTTAGGTATTTGGGAATCCAGATATAATAATTCAGGTAAGTCTAGTTGATACAGACATTTATAACGGATAAATCATGCAAGAGATAACCCGAGGCTCCTAATTAGGTGTTCGAGCACTCGGGAGAACCGATAATAAAAACCACAGACTTACTCCGTTGTAGTTCAAATATCATCTCATCTTTAATTGGGAGAGCATCGTATATTTATTATTATAGCATTAGTCTACTGTGCATGTGTACATACTAAAAAGAAGCAACAATTACTTTTTACTGCGCATGTGTGCGTTAAAAAACAAGGGACAACTGATTACTTGAGAACGTCATATCTAAGCTAGGTTAGAATACCAAGGTTAACAAAAAGTAACATTTCATGAATGTGCTGCAGAAAACTGCAGACAGAAGCAGGGGTGAAGAATTTACTGTTTAACCCTCTCAGAGGTGGAAGGACTTAACTAGGGCAAATGTTTTAACCCTTTATTTATCTTTATCTATGACATAGTGAACAAATATCAGCTTGGTTATTTTAATATAAATTTTGAAATTTGTTTTTCAATTCATTATAATTCACTGTTTATGGAATAAACCCTTTACAATGTGTGGTTACTTATAACACCCTTTCCGTATTTCCCCAATTCCGTAAAATAATGTCAGATGTAGAGCACCAGTATACATATTTATACATACTTGTTTTGAATATTAACTCATAATTTGGCATAAAATAGGTAACATACCTAGGATCATCTTGGACAGATGCACAGGTAGACCCTGAATGAAGTCTTTGTATTTTCTCACACCTGATGTTGCCTTAAAGGATGATGGTACCACCATGAGACACGGGTCATCAATGGTGTGTAGAAGGCTGGAGTCCTCAGGATCCTTCATGCCATAGTATTCCAACAGTTCGTCGATTCTGAGACTTTCATCTTCGGAGACCAACTTTTCTAAGGAAAAATAAATCCACAATTGTTAGCAATTTATGCCAGCATTTCAGAAGGCCTTTGATTTATTTACTATACACAAAACGCATGTATTGTAATTGGAATATTTTCATTTTTCATAAATTTTAACACCTTTAGATTAATTTATCAAATCTAAATACAGAATGTGCTCTTTAGTTCATAATTTTTGTTATTTTTGTAACTTAAAAATAATTTTGCATCAGCTGATGTGAGTTCAACAGTATATGGAGAAAAAAACTCAGCAGAATTAATTAAGGCCTTTACTGTAACTCCTGCTTCTTTGATGACCAGAACCATCATCTTCCTCGTTAGAGCTGGGACAAATAATGAAGACCCTCTGACAATGAGTTAAGATGGCTTCTGCCACTGGTATATAGGATATTTTGTACAAATGCACTGCTCAGTTTGATCATTGAAAACCATCAAATATGTTTATTTAATACACATTGTTGTATAATATAGAATTTGTTTGCTTTACAAGTTTTTTGAACTTTTACATAACTTTTACATGGCTGGCAACTGAATTTGATTGTAAGTTCATTTGAGCAGGGTCCGCATCAGCCTATTGTCACAAACGTATCTGTGCCGGCGCCAGCGCCGCTGCCCTCCTTGGGCCACGCTCCACATGGCCGTGCAGCCTGGATAATATACTTGACTTTGGCCCTGCGAACGGCTTCCTCTGCTGGTTCGCGGGCCGATCTGCAGCTCCTGTAATAATTAACTTGCCATGACGTCACGCCCTTAAAGGGAACACGTCATCTAGGCGACCCCATGCTGTTTGGGGTCGCAGAGATGTCGTGGACCAATGGGAACTCTTTTGAACCTATTTAAGGTCTGTTCTAGCCCTTACTCAATGCCCTATCATGGTTTCTGTTCTGATACACATTAGTGCTATATATAAGTCTCTCTTGTGGTATTCCTGTTATTGACCTTGGCTCGTATTTGACTCGTGATTTTCTGCTATCCTGACCCGGCTTTGTACATATTCTGTGTGTTTCTGTATTCCTGAACTTGGCGTACCCTAATCTTGTTTCCCTTTATATTAATTTTGAGCAGTGAGACTGGAGGGGCATGATCTAAGCTTCATTAAGCTAAAGTTGTTTTGGTGCCTATGGTGTCCCTTTTAATATTTGCATTGTCAGATGTATGTGGATTAATTCACTTTTCAGCCACACTCTGTGACAGGTGAATAAAATCAAGCACACACCATGCAATCTCAATAAAGAAGCGATCACAGTGGGGTGGCCCACAATGCCGATCTTGTGGTGACATCCCCCCTGCTTGCATTGCCTGGGTCATGTGTTAGTGCTATACAGGAAAATGGGAAAAATTAGGAGTAACAACAACACGGTCGCAAAGGAAAAAGGATACACAAAGTTAAAATGCAAGGCTGGGATTGCACGTGACTCCTTCCCATCTATAAATACTCTATTGTAGGGGTGCCCAAAAGGTTGCTCCCAAAAATGTTTTAAAACTACAGCTTCCATGATGCTTTGTGATTCTGAAGGCATGCAAAGCATCATGGTAGCTGTTGTTCTACAACATCAATGCTATCATATCAATTATCTCATATGATTTTATTTATAAATCTCAAACACATTTCAGAGAGCTGTACAATATATCAGTTATAAAGTATAACTGCCAATGTGGCAATACAAAAAGCTTTATAGTACTTACGTAGTAAACAGAGAGCAATCAATACATTTTTCAGGGAGCTGCAAAAATTTTAGGGGTGCATTTATATGAACAGATAGAAAGACAACAGTAAAAGCGATTGGGGTACTTTGTTTTCGATATATACCGCTGACACCCTTTTTTATGACACTGACCATCTATCAATATGTAAATATTAACATTATTTGTTTACCTTTCTTTGCTAAAAACGAGTGCACCCCTTGTACGACCAGTACGTGAATTAGGTTGGCGACACTGTGCAATAAATGCGCTTTACACATCTTGAGTAGCAGCAACGCGTAGTTGTGTTTGATCCAGGTGGAGCCCCCTTTGAACCATCGCCACGTCTCAGCCACAAATTGCTGCCACAGCTGTGGGTTCAGGGCCCGGTCTGAACCCGTGGTGTGGGCATCTTCTTGTAGACTCGGGTTTATCCGAGACCGGCTGTACGTGAAGTCCTTTCCCAGGACCGGCTGCAGGACGCTCTCCACGGACAACAGGAGATCCAAACATTCCAATCGCCTTACAATCCCGAGGACGAACTTCCTCTGCGAGAACTCTCCTGCTCTCAGGAACCATTCTTTAGTGACGGCAATTTTGGTGGACAATACGCACGTCTCACAAGTCTGGCATATTGGCAAACCTGAGATTTGGTTTTTACACCGGAGATTGGAGGCACATTTAAGACTGAATTCCGTTTCTTTCATAGTGGGCGCATCCCAGTGGGGGTTAAAATAGTGGTAAAAGCAATGCCAACACTACAAATTGGGTGTACACCCTTTATTCTTTGAATCACAGCCCGTATGTAGCTTATTCACTGTCACAGCCTGATTCTAAGTATCACTGTTTGTAGAATTTGCTGTCAATTGTTCTGGTCTCCAAGGAGGCACACTGAATACCGTATTTACTCTATACAAGCTCTCCTGCTGGGCAGGTCCCGTAAGTATTCTAATAGCCTGGCAGCTGATTTCACAGACAGTGTACGTTAACACGCAAGCATTGTTTTGTTGGTTTGTTTAAAAAAAGCTAGGCGGATATTCTTTCTCACTAGTGTTTGCCAAATCTGAGAAATATGGGGGGCAAAATGCTAGAAACAGGACAAATAGCAGAAATAGTAAACAGACTTTGTGTGCTACTGTTTGTTGTTGTTATTAATTATTTTTGCTCCAGAATTGCTACAGTTTTAATTTTGATAAATATGACCCTGGCACTAAAGTTGTATAATGTTTTTTTGTGCAATAATAAAACAGTTAAAGGGATACTCCAGACCCCTAAAGCACATCAGCTTGCAGAAGTGTTTTATGTGTGAAAAGTGTGTCATTTTACGTCAAGTGTGTCATTTTACAAAAAATGCAGATTTCAATAGAAATTGGCACTTTAATAAATCAAAAATTCAAATATATAAAAAGATCGGTACAACTGTATTATAATTAATCAAAATGAATACAATTAAAATTAAAATTAAAAAGGGGGCAGCATGAAAACACCAGCAAGCGACTAAATTGAGTTATTAACTCACAATAAACAAAAGGTGTGTGCGCTCCCAAAAAATATCTCAAACTAAAAAAATTAAGTATATAGATATAAATCTTTTAATAAACATCCAAAAATTAAATAAAATACAATAATTCAGAGGCTGTTTCACAATCTCCCTATTGGTTATACCCTAAAAACACACAAAGTTACAACAAAGTATAAAAACATTAAATTAAATACTCAGCACAGTATCCATATGCAACAAAGTTGCTAGATATAATTAGCTTTGAATATATCAATGAATTATATACAAATGCCTCAATAATATGGATAATGTGCAAAGGGAAAAATATACAACAAAAAATTATATAAATATATCAAATAATATAAAACAAATAAAAATACAAAATATAAATAAATAAATAGTACCTGACCTCGGTGTGGGCCCCCACCAGAGGTAGAAATAAAATCCAAAACAGGGGTAACCGAAAAGAAAAAGACCCCCAGATGACACCAAATAGCTAAATAAAAGGCAAAAGCAAATGCACTGTATTACTGCGGTCGGAATCTTCGAAAAAGATTGCGGTATTAATTAAACACAGATGAAAAAAGTTGTGCAAACGAATTTGCTGCCCAGAATGAATGAACACACCTTTCATTGAAATGCCATGGTCGGTATCTTCGCAAAAGACCGCGGCAGTCAACCAAACGAGACAGGATGTCAGATGGGGTGCAGAGCTGGAGACAAGGAAACAGCCGAAGCAGGTATGTGTGTAGATCTACGCGTTTCGTTTCAATTCTGAAACTTTATCAAGACAACAATATACTACATACCCAAGGCACTTTAATAAATCAACCTTGTTACACCCCAATTTTTACAAATCAACATTGCTACAACTCCATTTCCAAAATACAAACAAAATCACTATTTTGTAGATATACCTCAAATGAAATAATGGATTAATTTAATTATAATTTTTTTTTTCCCATTGGAGTATACCTAAAAACAGCTGCAAAAGCTGCAGATCTCTTGTCTGTAGCCTTTGTAAGCCCTCCCCTTATTCCCCAGCCAAGACTCTCTGTGACTGTCCAATCACAGACTTCCCAATGCAGCTCAATGAGAAGTCTTTGCAAGGCAGGTGCGTTGAGCATTTGCTGCCTCTTGAGTTTAGCTTAACTGAGCTAACCAAACCAGGAAGTAACAGGACCGTTAGTCTGATTGAAAGCCAGGGAGGTATGACAAGGTTAATTTATAAAAGTACCGACTTCTATTGATAGCTGCACTTTTTGTAAAATAAAAAAATAAAAAAGAGGGCACACTCTTCACACAAAGTACATCAGCGCACTAAAGTGCTTTAGGTGTTTGGAGTGTCTCTTTAAATGCCCTGAATTTTTATAAAAGCAACACTGTCAGACGGTGACATATTGTCTTTAACCCCTTGTGTGACATGTCATTATTCTCTTTTATTCCAGAAGTTTGGTCCTTGAGAGGTTAAGGCACGTGCAGAGTGAGTGCAAATAAAATAAACCCCAACTTTCCTTTAGTCCTCTTGACCCGGAGTGACAGAACTGGTCTGTCGGGTGATCTGTAATACTGAGGGCAGATCAGGTGTCACACAGAGCTACCCTGTGACATGTCAGCTGTGATTTACCATTTCCTTTTCTGAAAGTCTCTCAGTACAACCCAGCAGAAAGGTAAGTACTAGTAAATATGGCATGTGGACTATAGTCGCTGTGGACTTTATCTTGTTGAAGATCTATGTTAAAGATGTTGTGCTGGGACTGCAAAGAATGAAGGTTCCTGAGAAAGACTGTCATATTAACCATTTCCTGCAAAAGTATGAGTTTGACAGTAACTCTGTTTCCATTTGAGTGTGTGTGAATGTGTCTGTGTGTGTGCTATTGTTTGTGAATGTGTCTGTGTGTGTATGTCTGTCCCTTTATAAATGGTTCTGAATGTATGCGTACATATATTTGCATAAACCTTCTTATGTTTTATTATCATTATATCCAAATTCTATTTAATCACACGGAAAGAGACAAATCCTTACAAATGACAAACGGATACTGAATAATTGAAAGGAGCCTTAACTTTACCCTTTCTATTTAATGACATGCCCTCTGCTCCTTTCTCCCACTGGGGGATTGAATTACACTTAAACTGATGATGGATAAGTGGAGACAACACTATCTAATAGCCAATAGCCAGGCATCCGTATAATTATAGGTGTACTAATAGTTGGTATAATAATAAGCAACCAATATAAATAAAATCTGGTGTAGATCATGTTCCATTGTTTAAAAAAAGATAAGAAAAACAACATGTTAAAAGAGTTGGCAACCCCATTTCAAGAATAGACTCCCTAGTGATAATACAGTATAGCGTTGCCTATAAAAAAGACCACAATTTCATGTATGATGACTCAGTGGGGCTGGGATTATTAAGAAAGGCTGACCACACCGCAGACTTTCTTTGGTTCCTACTCCAATAATCCAGACATATTGTATTTTTTTGTTGTTACTATTAATGAGAATACATTGCTGGGAGCAGAAGAGACGGAGAGGTTGATGGCTGCCACACGTCCTGCATTTCAGAAGCTTCCTTGCTCTTACGCCAATGGAAGTCTGAGCAGCAAGTGTAAGAAGAGGGTGGAAGTACAGTGATAGGGTGGCAGGTCAGGATTCTACATGTGCAGGCTTAGCAGGCAGTATAAGCGGGGGTGGAGCTTCAGTCAGGATGTGGCGTGGCAGGTCAGGGTGGTACATGTACAGGCTTAGCAGGCTGTATAAGAAGAGGGCGGAGTTACAATCAGGATGTGGCAGGTCAGGGCGGTACTGTACAGGCTTAGCAGGCAGTATAAGTGGGGGTGGAGCTTCAGTCAGGGCATGGCATGGCAGGTCAGGGTGGTACTGTACAGGCTTAACAGGCAGTATAAGAAGAGGGCAGAGCTACAATCAGGATGTGGCAGGTCAGGGCGGTACTGTACAGGCTTAGCAGGCAGTATAAGTGGGGGTGGAGCTTCAGTCAGGGCATGGCATGGCAGGTCAGAGTGGTACTGTACAGGCTTAGCAGGCAGTATAAGAAGAGGGCTGAGCTAAAATCAGGATGTGGCAGGTCAGGGCGGTACTGTACAGGCTTAGCAGGCAGTATAAGTGGGGGTGGAGCTTCAGTCTGGGGAGTGGCATGGCAGGTCAGGGTGGTACATGTGCAGGCTTAGCAGGCAGTATAAGTGGGATGGAGCTTCAGTCAGGGCATGGCATGTCAGGTCAGGGTGGTACTGTACAGATTTAGCAGGCAGTATAAGAAGTGGGCAGAGCTACAGTCAGAATGTGGCAGGTCAGGGTGCTACATGTGCAGGCTGAACAGCCAGTATAAGAGGGGGCGAAGCTACAGTCAGGGTGGCACATGTGCAGACTTAGCAGGCAGAATAAGCGGGGGTGGAGCTTCAGTCAGGACGTGGCGTGGCAGGTCAGGGTGGTACATGTGCAGGCTTAGCAGGCAGTGTAAGCGGGGGTGGAGCTTCAGTGAGGACGTGGCGTGGCAGGTCAAGGTGGTACATGTGCAGGCTGAACAGCCAGTATAGGAGGGGGCGGAGCTACAGTCAGGGTGGTACTGTACAGGCTTAGCAGGCAGTATAAGAAGAGGGTGGAGCTACAGTCAGGCAGTGGCAGGTCAGGGTGGTACATCTGCAGACTGCACAGCTAGTGTAAGGGAAGTTGTACAGTCAGGGCATGGCTGCACCATGACACCTCTGAGAAACAGACAGGGCCGGATTAACATAGGGGCTGATGGAGCTGCAGCTCCAGGCCCAGGCCCATGGAATAGGCCCATTTAAAAAAAAAAAAAAAAAAAATCTTTTTTTTTTTTACACACTACTCTTAGGTTTGCCACCTGACTGGTATTTTAATGGCACAGACGGTATTTGAGGCTGCCTGGCCCTGCAGTAATACCAGCAATACAAATGCAGGTAATTTTCTCAGAATAAATGGAAATTACTCTGCAATACCAGCACCGGCCAGTAGGGGTCACTGTGTGTGGAGAGAGGCAGGGATAGGAAGTTACAGAATATCCCTGCCTCTCTCTACTACTCACTGATCCGCGGGGGAGCAGCTACACAGCACAGAGAGTCCAGACAGCAGCTCTACAGCTCAGGTAAGTGATGGATGGGGGTAAAGGCAGCAGGGACACATGGGGACACTGGGACACAGACACTAGGGGACACATGATGACACATACTCTAGGGGACACTGAGACAGTAGGAACACACTGAGACACTTGGGGACACTGGAAAACATGGGGACACAGACACTTGGGGACATATGGGGACACAGACACTAGGGGACACATGGGGACACAGACACTGGAAGACCTGGGGACACTGGAAAACATGGGGACACTGAGACACTAGGGGACACTGGGGGATGCTGAGACACATGGGGATGCTGTGAGACATAGGGACATTGGGAGACATTGGGACACGGAGACACCATGTCCCCAGCCAGTGTCCCTAGTGTCTCAGTGTCCCCAAGTCTCCCAGTGTATGTGTCCCATGTCTCAGTGTGCCTTGTGTCCCAGTGTCCCCATGTCTATGTCCACAACTGTCCCCATGTCTCCCCAAGTGTCTGTCTCCCAGCCAGTGTCCCCTAGTCTCCCAGTATCCCCTAGTCTCCCAGTATCCCCTAGTCTCCCAGTGTCCCCTAGTCTCCCAGTGTCTGTGTCCCTAGTGTCTTAGTGTCCCCAAATGTTTCAGTGTCTCCATGTCTCCCAGTGTCTGTGTGCCTGTTGTCCCCATGTCTCCCAGTGTCCCTATATGTCCCAGTGTCCACATGTCTATGTCCACAACTGTCCCCATGTCTCCCAGTGTCCCCAAGTGTCTGTCCCCCAGCCAGTCTCCCCTAGTCTCCCAGTGTCTGTGTTCCCATGTCTGTGTCCCTAGTGTCTTAGTGTCCCCAAATGTTTCAGTGTCCCAGTGTCTGTGTCCCTAGTGTCTCAGTGTCCCCATTTCTCCCAGTTTCCCTAAATGTCTCAGTGTCCCCGGGTCTTAGTGTCCCTGGGTCTCTCAGTGTCCCCAGTATCCTAGTGACATGGGGACACACTGAGACATTGGGACACTGGGAGAAATGGGGACACAGACACTGGGAGACTAGGGGACTGGGCGACAGGGGGACACTGACACTGTGATACATAAGGACACTGAGACACTGGGTGACTTGCGAGACTGAGACACTGGGAGACAGGGAGACACTGGGAGCAATCCATCTATACAGCAGAATCAAACTGTGAGTAGCTTGTTGGTGATTTTACAGAATTTTCTCTGATGTCACTCCTTGTGATTTACATCATGTGATGTCACGCATAACTAAATAATTATACAAATGATTAAGGCTGGTATTTTTTTCAAAGAACGGTGGCAACCTTAACTACTCTTCACATACTCTTGCTTAAAGGAGCACCATAGGGTCAGGAACACAATCATGTATTTCTGACCCTATTATGTTAAAACCACCACCCAGACCCCTTCTTGCCTCCCTAAATATAGTAAAATATTACTTGTATTCAATTCTGCAGCTGCTGGCTCAGAAGTGGTGGTCTGAGCAAATTACAATACTTCCCCATAGGATTGGCTGAGACTGTCAAGTAGGCAGATCAGGGGCAGAGCCAGCACAAGTCCAACATAGCCCTGGCCAATCAGCATCTCCTCATAAAGATAAATTGAATCAATGCATCTCTATGAGGAAAGTTCAGTGTCTGCATGCAAAGGGTGGAGACACTGAATGGCAGTGCTGCACACTAGGCAGTACTGCCCCAGGAAGCACCTCTAGCAGCCATCTAAGGAGCGGCCAGTGGAGTTATTTTCTCTGAAAAGACAGTGTTTACTGCAAAAAGCCTGAATGGAATGATTCTACTTACCAGAATAAATACAATAAGCTGTAGTTGTTCTGGTGACTATAGTGTCCCTTTAAGTTTGGAAGCTTAAGAGGGATGTATGGGAACAAAACTTGTGTGCACTGGCTGACATTAAAGTTAGTTTAGGTAATGCAGACATTGGTCTCTCTAACACTGTGGCATGTCCCCTTTCTTCTACACTCACTACAGACACCTTTTCTCTGTCTCAGACTATATACCAGGAACTTTTGCCTGCTAGTAAGAAGGTAAGGAGACAAGTGGACCAGTGAGTGCTAGGGGACAGTCCTTAGAAAGAATGGAGTGAGCGCATCATTAGACGCATTTATGTCAAGCTCAAGGTGCTGCCTGCATAGTATGCCCTTAGTTGGACAGCCTGCAGGTTTGGCAGGCAGCCTGACATGCATTCATGCCAGGCTGACCTTCCAATTCTTTGGACAAACATGCCCCTTTTTGGGCATGTTCACCCCTTTTGGCAGGTCTTGTCACGTGATTCGCGCCAGTGGCACACCCTTTTACCCCGCCCATTGACTTCCTGCTTCACTGGACACTGCTGTTAGGGGTTATGGATTTACTTCAGAGATGAAAGCATAAATTAGAGAGAGATTAGCATAGAGTATGTGTTTTCTTATAGCTGCATCCTATGAGTTTCCCTCCAGCACCATCTCCTTCAGATACATGACGCTTGGGAGGTATGATTGTTTTAGTGTTTTTGGTCGATAAGATTCCGTAATTAGGCCCATCATAATTGTCAGCACCAGGCCCACCGTGCTCTTAATCCGGCTCTGGAAACAGATAACATAACTAACAGGAACACTTGTCAAACTGCAACAGAAACATTTCACACAGTTTTTGTCTGTTATGTTTTTATTATTAAAACAAACATTAAGTTTAAATTTAAAAAAAGAGATATAAAAAAGTGATTATGGCAGTAAGTAGAAAATGTATTTTGTATAATTTACAAATAACGTCATTAATGTAATTTCCACTTTAAAGAGTTACTCCAACCCCATGACCACTTTGGCTTTTAGAAGTACACGTGACTGAACTAGTGTGGGTTTCGTGCAAAAAATACATAAAAAAAATACTTTAATGTATATACACATTTCATGTAATACATTTTAGTACTAGTGTTGCTTTTTAAAAAAAAACAAAACTATGCAATATTGGCTCAGTTCTTAAAAGGACACGTAAGCTGTTACAGTGTCTGAAGTCCCCTGGCGTTGTCCTTCTATTCATTGTTAAATCATTGTTAATATTTTAATGCGAAGTTCCCAACCTGAGCAGCAGAGGACTGCTGTGATTGAATGAGAATGTCAGCTGACTACTTTTCGCCAATCAAAGCACCCATTGTTGGTATGATCTGGTATGGTTATAAGGAAGTGTGTAATCTCTGCATTAGCCATACCTCTGTGAGGGTCGGGGCAGGGCTGTGAGTTGGCCAGTTCGAGTTACACTACTCGATAATGGTTTAACACTGAATGTGTCAGAAGACTCCAGACACTATAACCAACTCAATCAGACAAAAAGATAAAATGGTTAAAATTGTCCTTTTAAATACACTTTACATAATATTAGCTTAAAGGACCACTATAGTGCCAGGAAAATAAACTTGCTTTCCTGGCACAATAGGGTTATTATGTCACCCCCCATCCTCATGGCCCCCCACCTGCTGGGCTGAAGGGGTTAAAACCCCTTCAGCCACTTACCTTTCTCCAGCGCCGGCTCCCTCGGCGCTGGGGAACTCTCCTCCTTCTGCCGACTTCAGCACAGAATGCGCATGCACAGCTGGAGCCGCGCACGCATTCAAACCACCCATAGGAAAGCATTTCTCAATGCTTTCCTATGGACGTCAGCGTCTTGTCACTGTGATTTTCACAGTGAGAATCGCGGAAGCGCCTCTAGCGGCTGTCAGTGAGACAGCCACTAGAGGATGGATTAACCCTCAGTGAAAACATACCATTTCCTCTGAAACTTCTATGTTTTCAGCTGCAGGGTTAAAATTAGAGGGGCCTGGCACCCAGACCACTTCATTGAGTTGAAGTGGTCTGTGTGCCTATAGTGGTCCATTAATTCATAAAAACCTGCGCCTGTTTAATTCATAGACACATCTAGTGCTATTTTGGCTTAATTCAAAATCCATACTATATGTAGTACTTGTTGAATTCGTAAACATACACATAGGATCACTGGATCCTCCACCCTCCCGCTACAGACAGCGATCCCTGACACCCCTATTCCCCCCTGCCCCCACAGACAGGGAGATCCGGTGCTATGCCTTGATCATCTCTCTTACCTGCAATATGTTTCACTTATCTAACAGGCAAGAAAAAAACAGGGGTAGCTGTACAGGGAGGCAAACAATGTATGAGTATAACTGATGCATTAGTTTGCCATTGCATCTATACACGGTGTTCTGAACAGTGCTTTCATAGCATTTTGCAAAAGGACACTAGCCAATGAATGCTCTGATTAGTACCAACACACAGGGGGGCAAATGTGGGACAGACTGACATGTAGAGATATGCTTACTGCATGTCTGTCTGTGTGTCCTCTTCTGGTCACACAGGCTGCTGGTCTCCCTGGCCAAGCTATTGGGATAAGGCAGGATGTATGTCAGAATGGGTAAAGTGGCTAAGGGGGTAGGCTTATAGTGCAATACATTTATTTCATTTTAAAATACACTAACCATATTTGAGCATACAAAAATACAGCATATTAAATAGGTCAAAACCTAGAAAGCTTTAAAGTTGTTTTAGTACTCAGAGTGTCCTTTTAAATACGCCATTCAGCACATAAATTGTACGGTTTTGGAGCACGTGTTCCTCCACCATCCAGTTCCAGAGGGCTGTCCTCTCCTGGAGGGTATTTCAGATTGAATTTCTGCAGAAGACTGATGAAGAAAATGAAGATTTCTGTTTTTGCGAGCGATTCTCCAATGCACTGTCTTTTACCTGAGACAAAGAATAAATACACATTATATAAATATATTACAAATCAATTAGTCAATTAACAGAAAGTAATGCTTGGCAGTCAGGAGATATCAGGGAGAGGGGGAAGATGAATGGCACTTAACCTTGTGCGTACTAGCCCTATGTTACTATCCTATACAGACCCACTGAATTTTCTCAAATAGATTGTCTAAAAAAAGTTTGCATCAGACATGTTCGTTACAATAAAAAAAAATAAAAAAATAAGATATGACAAAAACTCAATTTATCATTAAGTCCATGTAAGCTTTGCAAATTTACAACTACTTGTGATAACAGAATCGTTTTTAAAGAACTAAAGCTCTCAGTTTAAATCCAATTTCATTACACGCAGATTGTCAGCCGAAAAAGATGAATGCTTTTACCTGCTCCAAAGACGAGTAGAGCCTCGTTTTTTACGAATTTGCCATTTTCATTCAGAAATCGGTCAGGATTAAACAGGTCAGGGTTTTCAAAGTATTTTTTGTCGTACAGGGCAGAGTGCAGGAAGGTGACGATCTGAGTGCCCTGTGAAGAGATGACACAAATATTTTTTTTACTTTTTTAAGTCTTTATCATTCAATACATCCCATCATATAACTATCTTAGAAATCCCATGCAACTATTGTTTAACTGAGCTGTTTGGGAAAACGCGTGGTGCTCCACTGGCCAATAAACTACAACGTCAAACAGAATGGTGCGCAGAGTGGCAATACCCAAATGTTAATGGATGCAAGTTCTCCAAATTGATTTGGTCTCTGTGCCAACTTGGTTTGCCACTGTCACATTAAAAACGCTGGTGATCAGACACTTGGTTTTATTTTGCTGTGAAATATCATATTTGTAGACGAAATATATATATTTTTTTCATTGATTTTTGTATTGCACACAGGATGAGGGATACCTTTGGAATGGTATATCCTTTGAAACTGATATCAGTCAGAGCCTCATGGGGGAGGCCGTTGGGCACGATACTGGCAAACCTCTGTACTTCGTGGAGCACAGCATCGGTGTACGGAAGATGCACTCGATCCTCCAAGGAAGGGCATTTCTCTGACCCCAGGACACTGTCAATTTCATTCTGAACTTTCTCTGCAACAAAATAACATAGCAATGATGTAATCTGATATATCGTATGTAAGCAAATAAACTAGATTGCAAGGAGAGGAATAAGGAAACGAGGGAAAACTAGAAAGACAAATCAATGGTTCTAGAGTGGGCTCAGCTGGAGTGGGTCTACAGCTACAGTATAACTTCTAACAGCAACACTCCCAACACCTATCTCTTCTAAATGCTCTTTAAAGGAGCAAGAACTTGGCTGAGGTCACCTTGGAGAATCGCAGTTTTTGTCAAACTGCCTGAAGACTAACTGACCCAGAATCGATGGAGGATGGCACCAACAACCTACAAGCACCATAACTCGAATAGGATGGATTTTGTTATGGTGCTTTGATCGCCCTTTTAACCAGACCTGTGTAAGGTAATGTATCCTCAGGAGAATCGTATCTTGCATGTTTTTGTACGAGTGTCCATTCTGGAAACATTACAGATTTTGCCTTTAGTTGACTTGCATATGGTGCGTTTTATTGACTTTTATTTGCTACATCTACATTAATGTTGTATGAAGACATGGAGAACTTGTATGATAGTAGGACAGTAGACCTAGAGAGACACTACGGAAATTAACAAATTCTTCCACAAGTATATGAACCAAATTATTTCTTGGTATTTACTCAGATATAGAACCTAAAAAAGTTTTTTTTAAAAGGGGAGAGTGATGTTGAAAGGGCTTATGAGCTGTATTTTTGCACAAACAGTTTTGCATAGTTTTTAGAAAACAAAATGTTTTGACAAACCCTGCTTTCCACGGCCCCCTTTCTAAAATACCCAATTGTTATGCTTTCTGTTCCTCTCTCCTAACCTGCTGTGTCCAATAACACAGTTGTACATTTGTAGGAAGCACAAAAAAAGTTTTCTGGAACTTGTAGTTCGGTTAACAGCTTCCCAGAAACCCTTGCTCTAAGCAAATGTGCAGATTTTCACTTTTAAATTTCCTAATCACCCACTTCTCCCTACACTTTAATCCTTGCAGTGCTATGTTAAACATGTCCAACAGTTAAGACTATTGACCAGAGAAAGAAACTCCTAATTGACCAAACTACTTCCTGGAGTACTCAAGGCTGGTGATGCAGAGCAGGGGTATGCAACGGTCAGCACTTCAGATGTTGTGGACTACATTTCTCTTGATGCTGTGCCATCATTATCGCTGTAACAGCATTATGGGAGACGTAGTTCACAACATGGGAACTCTTCCATACTTACTTTGAATTTCTGGATACAGCAGCATTAACCTCAGCGCCCAGCGGATTGTAGAGGCCGTTGTTTCGGTCCCAGCAATAAACAGGTTAAAGGTTGTATATACCAGGCTCTCCATCGTAAAATGGGAATCAGGGTTGCCAGCTTCCTAAAGATGGAAACAAATCATGTAAGTAACAGTTATTACATCCCTTGATCGTCTATGGTTCTAGAGCCTATTTACTAAACTAACATTAGTTAAGAAGTGACTAAGTAAGTACATTTTTGGCTAAAAGATGAGTTGAAAGTTTTTTTAGCAGGATATTTTTGCATAAAAGCAGGAAAACCCTTATACCCACAAATCATGATTCATCCAATAACCTGCTTTTTTTTTTATTAATCTGAAGATAATTATTTTCATTTTTTTTAAACTTTAAGACTTTTAATAGTTTATTTATTAAACAGGTAAATTGAAAACCAAGGTACAATTTGCCAAAATAGAAGCACAGACAAAATTAAAGTTGGCTATTTTTAAATTTTGGTTAATTTGGCAAGTTTTGCAGTTCAGTTTTGAGTTTAGCACAGTTCCCTCTTTAGTGATTAAACCCCACGAGAAACAGCAGAGAGCAAGACAGTGCCATAAACAGGCGGTTCTCTTGTCCCGTATCACAGCAGCTACACTGGCGATTATTCCCATTTTCACATATGAGGGGCAACACTTTTCATGCACCACCCAAAAGAACAGCCGAACAACATATGGAATTTCTGTGTACTTAGTAACATAACGGCACATACAAATGAACTCCTGTTGCATGTGTCCTGAAGCTTTGTGGCTTATACTGACGCTGCACAGGGAGTTAACCCCATTTTTTAAAATATATGCACAAATAGCAAGCATTATACCTCATCTATTTTATTTAGGAATGCGTCCACAAAATCCCCAGGACAGTTGGGGTCACGTGTCAGTTTGTGGTTCTCTAGTAGTGTGTTCAGGAATCCTTGCAGATCCGACGCATTTTGGAAGATTTTATTATGTTCACCCGGAAGCCACTTTAGGATGCTGGGGTAAGTGTTGTACATCTGCAAAAGGACGTAATAATGTATCACTTGTACAGACAACTTCTTTCTAACAGACATATTTGGGATTATTCAGTAAATAAAAGGTCATTGTATTTTAATTGTTTTTATGAGATTTTTTTTCATGCAATACAAGTATTCTATCAGGATATTTTAATTCCAAAAGTAATTATAATAATTCAAGGCCAGGAGACAACTCGGCTCAAACAGAAGTCGCTCATGTTATGTTTGTCAAAGGCTAGAGAAAACGTATACGTGTGTGTGTGTGTGTGTGTGTGTATCAGGAAAAGTTACTCATTAATTTATACTTGAATTACCAGAATGCACGGTTATTGCAGGACAGCCACGGATTTATTCACAAAAGAAAAAGAGTTGTTGGCAATTCAAAGTAAATTTCAAATTAAAGGCTTAAGTAGTCATAGCTGACTTCGAGAATGTTTCCATTTGAGTTATTTTGACCTTAAAATGTAAAATTAATTTTGAACTCCTGGCAGCCCTAACTTTCGACAATAACCCTGTTCGGCAGGATTTTAAAGTGTTGGCTGGCAACATGAGGGATTTGTGTGCTCGCTGAAATTAAATCAATTATTTAAAGGAACACTCCACTTCGTAAATACATAAGAAAAGAAAAATAACTATTTAGTAGATATAGTTCAATAAAAACATGCATGTAATTGATTATGTAATTGTCATTGCAGGTATATCTAAAAACAGTTTGAAAAAGCTGCAGATCCCTTGTCTGCAGCCTTTGCAAGCCCTCCCCTACTAACCCCGCCCAGACTTTCTGTGGCTGTCCAATCACTACACAGTGATTTTTATTTCAATATAAATAGTAAATAATTCACAAGGTCTGTCTGACAAAATGCAAAGATCATAGGTCCTTGAAGATGATTTTAATCTGGCATTCTTTAATTAATAATATTAGAGTAAACAGTATCTGTGTCTACCATGTTATAGACGAAGCATTGTCTAATTAAAAGTTTGGTTGCAGAAGCAAACTTTACTTTTATAGGCATTTGGCTGTTGAAGTATACAGAGCTTACGCCTAGATTTTATATTTTTGGGATATGTTTCTCAGATATCATATTTTGAAAAATATTTGAATAAGTCAATATTTTCATAGTTTTAATATATTGATTTAAAAAAAATTATTTGTAATATTTTGGAAGGGAAAAATTAAAAGCTTATCCTAAAATATTAAAATTATTTGATAAAACTTATTCCACAATATCGAATCGAGGCCTTAGTAAAATACTATGGATTGAGAACACTTAAATGAACACTGCTGTGTTACGAATACATATCTGAACTCCTAACACTACACTCCCGTGACCTCTTTCTCGAGTAGCATGATCATGGAGGATCATTGGGGACCTTAGGCGTATGCCTAATCATTGAATACAATTATTCTTTATGGCGGTATGTTATGGTATGAGAGTCGGGAAGTAATATTCTTTACTCTCATACCCAGAAGGCTTGGAGGCACATCTTGAAGTCACCTTTCCAAGCATTCTATTTTGTGAAAAAAAAAGTTTTTTGGGTGGTAGATAAGATGACGTTGTTATAGAGCCTACAGTGTTCCTTTAACTAGGTCATGGTGGAAATGTGTCTAAGCAGAACCAGTTCATTCATATTTTCGTTTGTATTAGTTACTTAGGTGAATACATGTGTTGGGTATAAAAATAAAACATTCTATTCAGTTGAGTTTGAAACTCAGCGTAAGGTAAAGATAGGATTGTTAGCTAAAGAACTTTAAACATTTATAGTATACAAAATCAATATTGTATAACTAGCTAATGAATAACGTCCTAGTTAGTATGAGTTGGTAAGGTCGCACAGGAATATAAACTTCCTCTTCATATCTACTAACTAAACAATTTAAAAAAATAGAAAACTAAAATGGAAGGTTCCTTTAATATATGTTACATTTGCAGAATTTCTTATACAATTTTTGTTTCTTTTCTTCTTGTGTGTAATTTTCCCAGCACGTTAGTGGCAAAGAACGTGTCACTGGTATATTATCCTTCACCTGAAATCCACGTTTGCCCAAGAAAGAGATGTTCTCACTGATCATACGGAGCAGCTTCTGGAATTTCTCGTCTTCGGTGTCAAAACGCTCTCCAAACACAGTGGAGCAGATAACGTTGGAAACCGCAGCTGTTACTTGTGGTGCCGGATTAAAGGGTTTTCCTGAGAAGTAATTTGAGAATTCATTTTCCTTTTTTCCCCCAATTTATAAAGAAGGTTAGTAGGCAGACACCAGTGCATACAGTCAGCGTGGTGTGAACCAAAGTGAATTTAACATTTTACACCAAATCAGTCAAACTGAAACAAGATTTGAAGAATTTTCACAGTTTGGCCTAAAATGTTTAATTCTCTCTAAAAATTATTTTGGAATTCCATGCGTATTAAAAGTTTGTTAATAACCTTTTACAGCGATAAACAAAGAAAATAGAAAAAAAAAACGTGAAAACAGATAAAAGAAACCAAATTAGCAGCCATGTACAAAGCAGATCAATTACTGGAGTAAATTAACAGTCAATCTACAATAAAGGGCGTAAAGAGAAAACGACCCCTTATAAACCAAGGACCATATAAACCAAATGTCTATACTTTGCAAGATGAGCGTCTCACTGTGGGGGATTTAGAATTTAGGAAGGTGCTCTGTGAGACACAATAAGGCAATGACTGCCACTTCTAAATTCTTGCTTTTAATATTTGGGATAACACATTGTAACGGATCGCCTGGCACCCCGACTGGGTACCTCCGTTAAAGAATGCTCCTAGCGCTTCCTGAGGACTCCAAGCACTGCAGCAGACACCACAACCACCGAACCGGAGAAGCATATGAATCCTCTCAAGCATATGAATGCTGTAGACAGTTGAATAGGAACCATACAAATAGGTTTACTCTCCTAGCAGTCAAACTGGAACAGCATACAATAAATCCTTCCCCCAATAATGAGACGACACTTCACTTTGAGGGTTAAAACAGGAACTCTCTGTACTGTCACATACAGTCTCTTTTATTCCCAATCCACAAACATAGTACAGCCCACAGGGCGTTACAAAACAACCAATCAATCCGTACAATACACCCAGACACTCCCACACAAAATCCTCCCCTCTGCATGTGATATGATTACTGAACACAATGGGTAATCTCATTATCACCGGCAGAGGAATACAGTTTTTACACAATATTTATAACTTCTAAAATATACATGTCACAAACATAAAACATACATTTTCATAATCAATCCATTCAGGGGAACAACATATTAAAAAATGGCACGAATCAGACCAGGGGTTCAAAAGTTAAGGGAAAGTCCTTTGTGACTAAATGAAGCATGGCTTTCTGGCCCAAACCAGTTTCAGAGTCTTCTATCCTGGAGATAAGTAATTCAATTATCTCCCAGGACAGACACAAGACTCCATTAAGCACATGGTTGCAAAAGACACAAAACACTTTAAAATACATAAAGTCACTTTTTACACATAACACACAGACATTTCACATATCCCCAGATAGCTGGGATCTGAGCGCACAAAACTACCGAATAGCGCTCAGATCCTATTCACACAGTTCAATTGCCATGGAGCGAAGTCTTTAACTACACGAATGGGCTCCATGGCATAGCTATCTGGGTTAACACATTCACATAAAGTCTGGTCCATAGTCCAAAGGCAAGAGGCGGGCAAGCAGCCCCCTCCAAGGACACGTGGCGAGGCCGGTTTCGCCACACACATACTTATACCTTTTCTCATAACTATAGGCATCATTGAGCCCCCATCTATAATTTATGTAATTTATAATAAAAGTATGAGGAGGGGCGGGGCGGGGCCTGACCACAGGACTGAGAGGATGCAAGTCTCAGCAGCTCCTGCTACTCAAAGCGGAAAAATACGAATAAAGCTACAGAAACTACACTAAAAAGCTAAACAAAGGCCACCAAGTGAAAGGGAAAACTGGGACAAACTCAAAGATACCAGATAAGCAACATTTAACCCGGTCCGTACCAGCCACACGGATGAGGCCTAACAGCATGGCAGGCGCGGGAGAGACGGCCTCTCTCTCGCTGCCAAACACGGCCGAAAATCTGACCCAGAGCCTTCGCTCCCCCCCCTATGGACCGGTGGGGGATATCCCGATCCACCCCAACTCAAACCCCCAGCCAAGCTACACTAGAGCGATACGGCTCCGAAGCCTGGAGGCTGCTAACAAAGCCTACAACATGGCGGAAGGCTTATTCACCACAGCCCAGTGTGACATCAGGAAGGAAACTGAGCGCCGTTATAACCGCATCTTCAGCGCACTCTGGAAATAGCTAGAGGCCCTCATGCAGACCCCCTATTCGGGGACCACACCAGAAGACACATTCCAGGGTCCGACAAGTGCAGTTGCGGAGAGTAACATGGCTTGCCTCACACACCTCACTTGCGCGACAGGCAAACACCGGCGCAGACGCCGCCAGCACAGAGTGGCCAAGAACCCAGAGACTCCCATGCCACACCGCCAAAGGCTGTCCCACCATGGCGCAATGGCCCTGCAAAAACCCAAGAGCGGCATTACCCACCTGAGAAGACGACTAAGCACAAGGCCCACAATGGCAGCAACGCCAACGCAATAGCGACCAGAGCCGCAGCCACTCAGCAAGGGAGCCCACCGGACCCCCCTGGAGCAGGGCTGGATGCTGCACAAAGAGGTGGCAAAGGTCGGAGACGGACAAAAGCAATGGGAACTGAAACTCACAGTGGTCCGGTCCATCCTACATACTCACCTGGACAGAGACTGTTTAAAATGGCCCATTAAAGGCATTGGCTGACTCTCTAACCCTTCATGACTGTCGCTCCCTATCTGTTGCTGGAACAAAGACATCTGTCGACCACCCATACAACTCTTAAGGAGGCTCTCCAGATCCGCAGCCCAGAGAGATCGGTTGTGCCGGACAGGGGGACTTGCTGTGCCTCACAACTGAGATGCAATCCGAAGCTTGCCTATATTTTACAATTGTTTTCTTGTCTTTATTATTTAGGTAGCTGCCTAGACAATGTTAGCTCTGTCTCCCATGCCCACACGGCCCTCCACCAGGTTATTGCAGCCACAACGAGAGGCCAGCTTCTGTGGTTAACCTAATAAGCTACCTACCATGTTAACTCACCAGCCCCATGCCCACCTACTGACAGAGATACACAAAATGGAGAAATAAAGCAGGTCAGGAGTCCGGATACAAGTCAAGGGCTCATGAGCTGCACCACTGTAACCACCTAATGGGGAGCTCCAACGAGGGGGTAACCCTCCAAAATATGTAGGTAATAGGAGTAGGTGATTTGTAGAGTCCCACAAGGGGAAACCAACATCAGGAGAGATCCACTATATAAGAAATGAGGAAGGGAGGCCCTAACTTTAATCAATCTAAGGATAAAAAGGGTCTGCAAACAAAAAGTGTAACTTGAAAAAAGGGAGATCTACTAAATGGTGCTCAGGGGATCAGTTGTCTGGAGTACTAGCTAGCATCTAAGTTCCAGTTCCCCTAGTGTCCGACTGACAGGAAGGTAGTGTAAACGAGGTTAGGCTCCTGACGACGGCGTTTTGAACATGCCAAAATGCGCGTCGAGCGTTTTCTTTTTCTTTAATCTCTGCACTTGGTAGCACTTTTTTATTTTTGTTACCACTATGGTTATTGATTTTTAGATGTTTATTTACTTATTTATAACTTTAGTAGGGAGAGTTGGTTCAGGTAGACACTAGTGGTTAGACCACGGTGTCGAGGTAACTTTTAGGGTGAATTGAGAGATTTATTTATTTTTTGTGTGAGGCTTTGAATCTGCGTTTAGACCTGATTACCCGGTCCCTTGTTCTCTGGGGAGCCTGTGCCTCTTCTCTCTCCCTAACCTCGTTTACACTACCTTCCTGTCAGTCGGACACTTTTAACGCCTTTAAGGACCACTATAGTTCCAGGAAAACAAACTCCTTATAGTACTTATGTCCCCCCAACCCTCAGGGCCCCCTTCCCGCTGGGCTGAAGGGGCATCCTAGGCGCTGGTGACCTCTGCTCCCCCTCCAAAGTCAGCTCCCGAGTGGACCCGAATGCGCATGTGTGGCCAGAGCCGTGCGTGCATTTAAACCGCCCATAGGAAAGCATTACTCAATGCTTTCCTATGGACGTTCTGCGTGCTCAATTAGATTTTCACATTGAGCGTCGCAGAAGCACCTCTAGTGGCTCTCAGGAAGACAGCCATCAGAGGCTGGATTAACCCTGGAATGAAAACATAGCAGTTTCTCTGAAACTGCTATGTTTACAGCTGCAGGGTTAAAACCTGGGGGACCTGACACCCAGACCACTTCATTGAGCTGAAGTGGTCTAAGTGACTATAGTGGTCCTTTAAGGACACAACTTCTGGAATAGGGAATCATGACGGAATATTTCCGACACGTGTCCTTAAGGGGTCATTGAAGTGCATGAAGCCCCTCTGTTAAAATATCCTCAAGTATAAAACTGATTAGTACATTCCATGCTCTGCTCCTGTCTTCCATTCTTGCTAAGAGCACAGACATTTCAGAATATTGCTACTGTGTCTTTTTCACAACAGGATAACACGGTTGCTCTCCACATCATCTTCCCAGAAAATATAATTTTTGATCTTTTAAAAAAAGGCCAGTATATTGATATTAATAACTCGATTAAAAAGGATATTTTGTATTCATCAAAGAAAATGTTACACTAGATATGTTTTATTTTATACACACTTCAGGTGTGATAAATAGTGATGTCCCGAACGGTTCGCCGCGGACTTATCATTGAGTAAACTTTGACCCTGTACCTCACAGTCAGCAGACACATTCCAGCCAATCAGCAGCAGACCCTCCCAGAGGTGGGAGGGTCTGGGAGGGAGGGTCTGCTGCTCATTGGCTGGAATGTGTCTGCTGACTGTGAGGTACAGGGTCAAAGTTTACTCAATGATGAGTCCGTGGCGAACCGTTCGCGAACCGTTCGTGGCGAACCATTCGGGACATCACTAGTGATAAACAGTAGCTTTCAAAACTTTTTCTCAATGATAAAATGAGCAAAATTCAGCACTTCTGAAAAACTCTAGACATCCTCAAAGTGGTGGAACATAATAGAACAGTGATGGTCCAAATTCACGTGGCAGTTTGTTGAGGCAGATGTGGTGCAAGGAGACCTGGTAGGTACCCCTTGAACATTTAGAGGGGATAGCAAAAACGTCACAGCTATAAAATCACCATGGCACGGTGCTACCCACCCATTTATTTTAGGAATAAAGAAATTTACATTACACTTTATTTTTAGCAACGCTAAATGTATGGAGACAGTTTAGAGGCAAAATACCTTTCTGTTTCTCAAAGAACTCCCACAGAAACCTGGCTTCCTCCTTTACACGCTCCTCAATGCTTCGTTTACCCATCCCCAGGTCGCGCAGTGTTGACAGCGTGAAGCGTCTTTGCTGATGCCAATGAGGTCCATTCGAAAAGACCAGTCCTAAAATTATTGAGAGGCACAACTGTTAAAAAATAAAATTTAGAAATTAAAGAACAGATGAGTGACTTTGCAAAAATCTTTCTTATGTCCTCGGCCTCCTCTACGGATCGTTCAATAGGTCAAGAAAGAGAAAAAAAACAAACTGATTTTCCACGTTAACTTTTTATTGTTACTCTGGTACGATGCCAAGAGGTGATAGTACGACGGGTAAAGGTTGCAATAGTGCATGCCAGCCACAGCACACATGCATGCGATGACACGTGTACCGGTGCAGAACACTTACACGTGTGTTCATGGAATAAAATGTTCTATTGGACAACCGTAGACATGCCTATTTGTACAGTTTTCACTGGTGTCTCAGAGGAGGGAAACACACGACAAAAAATGCAGTAATAAAGGAATATAAGCACCTTTTCTATTTGCAATTCTTTCGAAAACTGGGACAATTGCTCTTCCGCTGAAATCATCTGCTTGCCCAAGGAGGGCATCCTTCAGGGTGTCATACCCATGGAGAACCACTACCGGCTTCCAGCCAAAATAGATTGTGAACACGTCTCCATACTTCTTCCCCAGCTGGCAAACAGAGAGACATATTGTCAGACATTTCATTAGCAGTCTTCGCACAAATTTTTCTATTGCTTTTCGCTTTGGTTATTGTAACTCTTTGCTTATCTGCCTGAAATGTATCCAGACTGCCCCTCTTCAGTCAATAACGAACACCTCTGCCAGAATTGTATAACCCACACTAATTGAAAGTAAGCTCCTAACGCAAGTAAGCTCCTAAATATTCACTACATTTCTGGACTAACTGAGAAACTTTGATCTGCTCCTATTCACTCACTGTCACTAACAGAGACACCTTGAACTTCTCATTCATTCACTCTAGCAGAGTAATGTAGATCTGCTCTCATTCATTCACTCAGCATAGCAGGAAAATTCACATCTCTTCTTGCTCATTCACTCACGCTAACGCACAACACACTAGGATCCACTCCTGTCCTTTTACTCACGTTAGCATAGAAAATAAATTCATTTATGCACACTAACCAAGAAACACAGATCTGCTCAGGTTTATTCCCACACACTACTAAAGAAACTCCTATTTGACCTGTTTTTCCAATGACACCAACAAAGACACTCAACCATGTCTTGCACTTTAACTCAATATTAGAATAGAAACTCAGTGTGGTCCTGTTCCTTAATTTTTACTGACAGATACAAAAAATTAATCTTCTCATTCTCATTCATTCACATTAACAGAAACACATAATTGCTATTTATTATTCACTATAAATGGCAACAAAACCCAGATCTGGTCCTGTTTACTTTCATTAAATACTCAACATGCAGTGTTCATTTACTTATTTATAAAATATTTAGATAGCAGTTGTCTTTTTTTTAGCGACGTCTGACTGGTGGAAGAATTGATATTCATTCACTCATTTGTTTTTCATAATGGCTGTATTGATTATGGTGGAAGGAATAACTTGGCCGCCCCCTTTGTAAAGAGTCAAAACATGTTAGAACAGATTGACTTCATACCAGGGGCCTGCCAGTCCCCACCTACACTACTTTCCATGGAGATTTAGAAACTCTCTATCTGGGCTAATCCCTGCGTTTCAGATGTTAGTTCAGGAGAGCCAACAGAAGATCTTGCTTGGGAGACGGGGAGTCAAACTTTGGATTAAAAATCAGATTAATAAAGTATACATTGTCCTAGTGCCAATTTTTTTTTACAGAATGTTTATAGTGCCATTATTCAATCCAGTAGGCAGTGCCAGTGTTCAATCAAAATCCCGTACCCTATAAAGATCCCCTACCCTTGTCAAATCAGGTGGATGGCGGCTTACCTGTGTGGGCCGCCTGCACCCCACCAGAAGGGGGTTATGGGATCTTTGCATGCACAGCATGTGTTTGGGTGCCGTGATGTTATGTGTGCGCCAGAGTGGCGCCGACCGCGGGCTTGTGCACATGACATCACTAATGCACATTTGCGGTGTCGGGTTTTCTCACGCTATTAGTATGGATGCATCAACATCAGCTGTGTCGAAAGCATGTGCAGTACAGGGTAAGGTATTTTGATGTTGCTAATGCACATGCGCTGGATCAGTAAGGATACCATCCCTCTTGGTGGGGCGCAGGCAGCCCACATGGGTAAGCAGACATCCAGCTGATTCGGCATCACTTCCTGTGTGGCCTCGTCTTACGGGGTAGGTGATTTTGATAGACACCAGCACCATAAAGTGCTACAGGCAGCAGCCCTAGGGTACACTGGCTAGGTGACCCAATGTCCGTGTTGCATGCCCTCGCAGACCGAGGTAGATGATCTTCTTTATACTCCACCTGGTCTGACAGGGACTTGAGGCAGTGGGTATAAGCAGCGAACAGCAACTTGTCAGAATGGGTAGACGATACAGATCTTCTACCTTGGCCCGCAAGGGCACATTGCATTAGGGGTTGAGAGCCACAAAAGTATAAAGAGACATTAAAAGGGGGGGAGCAACAAAAGGGGCACAGTAAAAGACACCTGAAGGGAGGGAAGAGAGACAGGAGAGTGAGTGACACAGCATGCGGGGGAGTAAGAGACTCAGAAGGGGGAATAAGAAACACGGAATGGGAAGACTAAAAGACACAGAAGGGGGGGAGTAAGAAACTCAGAAGGGGGGAATAAGAAACACGGAATGGGAAGACTAAAAGACACGGGGAGTAAGAAACTCAGAAGGGGAATAAGAAATATGGAATGGAAAGACTAAAAGACACAGAAGTAGGGGAGAAAGAGACTCAGAAGGGGGAGAACAAGAGGCACAGGGGGGAGTAAGAGACACAAAGGGGGGTAGTAAGAGACACAGAAGGGGTGAGTAAATGACAGACGTCTAGAACTAAGAGACACAGAAAGGGGAGAATGAGACTCAAAAGGGTGGAATGCAAGGGTGGGGGGGCTAATAAATCCATGCATTAAACTCTGCAGAACATTTATGATGTTTGTTTTAAATCCTGCAGAATGAATAAAGTGCATATACGAAACCCTGCAGAACATTTAATGTGCCAACAAGACCTTGCAAAATTAAACTCTGTGGCTCACGCAGCAGCTTACCTGTGTAAATGTTTCATAGGGGGCCAGTTTATTAATCTGGTGTATGTTCCCAATAACGGGCCATGGCGTTGGCCCAGGGGGCAGATTCTGCATCTTTCTCCATGTAGATAGGATATATAGCACAAGAATAACTAGCACTCCTAGAAGTATAGTAGACAGCATGGCTTCTGTATTTCAGTAAAACAACTCAGTGTGGGTGTGTGTGAGTGTTTCAGCTTGTCTGGCTGTTTATATTCCCTCCTCCACTCCTCGTTTATGTAACCTTTACTCCATTTCTACATAGAGCCTGATGTAAAGCTTCAGCAAGAGGTTCTGTGCTGCCCCTCCCTTCCCCATTAAATACCAAAATACCAGTTTATCCCCTGCAATATCAATATTCTGTGCCCAGAGAGGCAGGGTTTTATCCCAGGGTTATTATTTAATTTCTAGCAATTAAAAACAGCAACATTCAGGATAAAAAAGTATTCTTTATGTCTCAAATAAATTGTACAGCGCTACAGAATTTGATGGCGCTATATAAATAATGCAATAAATTCGTAAAACCTAATAAAAAAAAAAAAGAATTAAATGAAAAAAAAAATTATAAATAAAATAAATAAAAAACAAGCCGTGACTATAGCTTGGTTGAATTTTTCAGATTATCTTTTATTAAGCCTTTTATTGTGCCATTTTAATTTTAATTTGCTTCTACATGGTTAAACTGTTAAAAAATGGTAAGATGACGCCCAAGGACTTCAGCCCCCATATCGACTAAAAAGATTTTTCGGAACTGTGGCCATTTACGGGTCAATGTGAATTAAAGGAGGACTACTTTCTACCCGCAGTATATAAATGCTATATAATTTTGGTTGGGTTTTTTTTGTGATAAATTTTTATTATTGATATTTCCCCGCGACGCATAGTTAAGGAACGCATACACAAAATTATAACGCTGATGTCAGCTCCTGGCGGCTGAACCGTCAGACTTTGAAGAAGTCCGTCAGGAAGAAGATGGCGGTGGCATGGCCTCAAGGGACAGGTTCAAGCAAGTATAACACACCTTTGAAGTTATTGGTGTGGTTTAAGCTATAAACAAACTTATACCAATAAGTGGAGCGCTCCTAACACAAGTACAGCTTACCAGATGGTATCCCATTCAATGGCGCAGTGTAGGGTACATGTTTAAAAAGATACAAAGGAATACAATATAGTGTAGATGGTATGGAAGGTGTTGATATGGTAATAGTAGTTATATTAGGTAAATTGAACACTCACATTTCTAGGAGCCTGTATATGAGAACACTGGCTCCGTATGTTAGCTGATGTGCTTATAAGGGTAGCACCGCCCGCCTCCTTCAGTGTGGGGTAATTCTCCAAAACAAAATGATAAAGAGAGCAGACCAATGTGTAGAACGTGCTTAATAAAAACACAATATGGTACAGATAAGTGGTTTGCTCACCTGGTCCTGAGCCTGTAGGTCCCGGCTCTAGGTATGTGCGCTTGGTGTCACTTTAAGTGGGGGTGACACTACCCCTGGGAAGATTCTCCTGAGGTTTCCAAAAGAGGGACTTGAAAGGAATGTAGTAAAAAAATAGTGGATTTATTTAGAACAAAATCAATAAAAACAATAATAGTTAAAAAGTCCTCTTTAAAAGTCCTCTTTTAAATAGCCAAAACGCGTTTCACTCCTTCTATGGAGCTTCCTCAGTCAGCTGTAATAGTTATCCTCTGAATCTTCCATCTTAAATGTTTCTGGGGTCCTCCCCTTTAGTGTGTTCAAACCATTGTCCTCCAATCATAATGGGGGTTGTATATTCCTCATATAATGGAATTCGTATGTGTCCCTTTAATTGGCCCAGGTTTCTGGCGCCTTTTTTGGTGTCATAATCTCATTGGTGGGTGGTGATTGGTTGGCGGAAATACTCCGCATCCGTCCGGGTGGTTGGCGGAAGTGACGTCACGGACCCACGTGACCGTCACTTCGCTTCCGCCCGGACGTTTTTTTATCTTTTCATTTATGATTTATTTAATATATTAACACATTTTTTACTCTGCTATTTCAGTGGAATGTACCCTTAGCCAGTCCCCCCCCTGGCCGGACCTGCACTGGATATGACTACAGTGCAGGAGATCGGTACCAGGGGGAGGGGCTCTATATCGGCACTTAGGAACGCCCTAATGGGCGGTATTAGAAGATATGTTCACACTATTCCCTCCTCCCCGACCTGCACGCAAAGATTGCGTGCGGCATGACCGGGGAGACAGGGAACGTCCGGGCGGAAGCGAAGTGATGGTCACGTGGGTCCGTGACGTCACTTCCGCCAACCACCCGGACGGATGCGGAGTATTTCCGCCAACCAATCACCACCCACCAATGAGATTATGACACCAAAAAAGGCGCCAGAAACCTGGGCCAATTAAAGGGACACATACGAATTCCATTATATGAGGAATATACAACCCCCATTATGATTGGAGGACAATGGTTTGAACACACTAAAGGGGAGGACCCCAGAAACATTTAAGATGGAAGATTCAGAGGATAACTATTACAGCTGACTGAGGAAGCTCCATAGAAGGAGTGAAACGCGTTTTGGCAATTTAAAAGAGGACTTTTAAAGAGGACTTTTTAACTATTATTGTTTTTATTGATTTTGTTCTAAATAAATCCACTATTTTTTTACTACATTCCTTTCAAGTCCCTCTTTTGGAAACCTCAGGAGAATCTTCCCAGGGGTAGTGTCACCCCCACTTAAAGTGACACCAAGCGCACATACCTAGAGCCGGGACCCACAGGCTCAGGACCAGGTGAGCAAACCACTTATCTGTACCATATTGTGTTTTTATTAAGCACGTTCTACACATTGGTCTGCTCTCTTTATCATTTTGTTTTGGAGAATTACCCCACACTGAAGGAGGCGGGCGGTGCTACCCTTATAAGCACATCAGCTAACATACGGAGCCAGTGTTCTCATATACAGGCTCCTAGAAATGTGAGTGTTCAATTTACCTAATATAACTACTATTACCATATCAACACCTTCCATACCATCTACACTATATTGTATTCCTTTGTATCTTTTTAAACATGTACCCTACACTGCGCCATTGAATGGGATACCATCTGGTAAGCTGTACTTGTGTTAGGAGCGCTCCACTTATTGGTATAAGTTTGTTTATAGCTTAAACCACACCAATAACTTCAACCGTATTTTGTGAAATAGAGGATATTTTCACATAAGTGTATTGAGCAGCCTATAAATCACTTCACCTGTTTTAAAGCACTGTACTATACACACTCCTCTGTAAAAGGAGGTAACCTTTGACTGGTATAACACACCTTTCCCTGCACCCCTCGGCCACTGGACTGCCAGCAAAGCAGTTGCCATCAGAGGTCTTTGCAAATTATACAAAGACCCCAGATGGTAACAGAGACGCTTTAAAATGGGTATGATTTTTCCGTCCATTATGCTAATATTTCCGACTGCTAGTTTCTTTGCATGCGTATATATCTCTTTGGCTCACTCAACAGAGAAGAAAATGGAAAATAAAATTAAATTAGGCCGTTGACTTGCCCTGGGGGCAAATTCCTTTCCATTAAGAGAAGACGTGGAATGAAAATAATAATTGCACCTAATAGTACAATAGCAAGTCTTCTCTCTCAGCAAAACACAATATTTGCACACGTCTGATTATACCTAGCTGCTTATATACCTGGACTTTTTAATTTCCTGTTTTTACGTTTTATGTGAACTTTGATTCAGTTGCTTATAAGTAGCTGATGCAAACCAGAAGCAAGAGGCTTTGTTCTGCCCCCACCTGTAAATAACCAAAACACCTGTATCCACTTTATATATCTATATTCTCTATAAAGAGATACAGGGTTATTCATTAAACATTGAATTGTAGCAATTAAATTCTGAATTGCAAAGATGTGCAAACATGTTATTGTAGCTTCGTTGGAGAATTTTGACAGATTAGCTATTTTTGCAGCCTTGATCATGCAGTTTAAATATTAATTTGCTAAAATTAAGCGAATAGCTTTAGTAGTAGTTTAACAAATAAAGTGAAAATTGTTGGGAATTCAAGGTAAATTCTAAGTGAATTTCAAATTTTACATCAAAATAGCCACATTGAGACATAGTTGACTTGAACGTTATATTGAATTTGGCTATTGCGGCTTAGAATTGGAAACTTACTTTGAATTAATCTTGAATTACACAATATTCACACTTTAAAGAGACATTATAGGAACCCAGACCATGGCAGCTCATTGACGTGGTCTGGGTGCAGTGGGATAACAAAGAACATTCAACAAGGCTGACATGTGTAGAAAGGGACAGTTTGCTGTGAAATGTGTGTGCGAAGGGGTCTGCTTATGGTGTACTATGTGCTGAGTGTGCACATTGTCATGAATATGGACTTTAGAGACTGTGTTTGTGTTAAAAGGGCCTGTAAGGTGTGTGCAGGTGTATCTAGGGGCTGCAGTGTGAGTGTATGTGCATTAGGGTTGCATTGTGTGTGTTTATCAAGGAGATGTAATGTGTATGTATATATATATATATACATCAAAAAGTAGATAGTCAGCACTCAAGGTCTTGTAAGAAAAGAATTTAATAATATGAAGATCCCACAATCGGTCAATGTTTCAGTTCAGTTCAAAGAACTTTCATCAGGACATGGTATCTAGTATCTATGTCCTGATGAAAGTTCTTTGAATTGAACTGAAACATTGACCAATTGTGGGATCTTCATATTATTAAATTATTTTCTTACAAGACCTTGAGTGCTGACTATCTACTTTTTGGTGTATATTGTGCTGACCACCGGGCAAAAAGACTGGGAAGCTGGAGTGCAATAACTAAGAACTGTGTCTATATGTATATATATATATATATATATATATATATACACATACACACACACACACACACATATATACATATGAGTTGCAGTGTCTGTGTAATGGGCTGAAGCAGGGCCGGCTTTAGGGGTGTGCGAGCTGTGCGGCCGCACAGGGCGCCATGGAGCAGGGGGCGCCATGCAGCCGACACAGCTTACACATGGCCGGGTGACAGGAGTGCAGGGGAGCGAAAGCAGGTACCCGGGTGGAGGATTTTATTATTCTCCACCCGGGACTAATATAAAAATAGCATGGCGAGGGGATGGGGGGAGGGTTAAATGGCTGTGGAGGCGGAGCTAAAACTCCCAGAAGCTCCTGGTAATAACTGCTGCACAGGAAAGAGGAAAGCAGGAAGGAGTCCCTGCTTCTCCA